CAAGGACGCACTCTACACGTAAACCCCAATGGACACGGAGTAACAATGACTATCCAAAGAGCCGAACTGTCTGCAATCCGCGCAGCCTTGGAAGCTCACTCAGACAGGCCACACCTAATAATCGCAACCGACTCACTAGTCTCAATCCACCTTATCAAACGAGCTATCACAGATCCCTGCAAACTACACATTTCAAAGCACCGCCCCCTCCTAGACAACATCGCACAACACCTAGCGACCAGAGCACGCGAAAACAAGCATACTACCATCCTGAAGGTGAAGTCGCACACAGGCATCACCGGCAATGAGGCAGCTGACCGGGCGGCAACGGCGGCAGCCCGCGGCGAGGTGAACCCCGATGTCACCGAACCGACAGATAACGCTCCATACGACAGGATATGGTGGCTGCGAGACGCTGAACGCAATATGTATGCGAAAGACCTCAACAAAGGCATTCTGAACCTACTCCCCGCCAAAACTCAGAACGGATACACTAACAACACCCAGTACACGGGCCTCTGGGAGGAGCACGGGAAAGACCTCTGCCCCAAAGCCAGCAACGCCGCGTTCACCATGCGAAACGCGCACGCGCTAGTCAAGAGGGCATTTGACGCACGATGGGGCCAGCTTTTCCATGAAGGGCTCAGGCGCCGGTTTAAGATGCGCTCCCGACACCCCACCCGCTGGCACCCGGACACCCCACCCGAGGACCGTGGGCACGGACCCCCCTGCCCCGTATGCCGTAAGGTATGTGACTCAGGGGGCCACATCCTGGGTGGCTGCAAAGACCCGCGAATGCACGGGATGTATTGCACAAGACATGACGGAGCCGTCCGTATTGTAGCGGATGCCATACACAAGGGGCAGCATGGAGGGAGTTACATGGTCATGGACGCGGGAAAAGCAGAAGATCTCCCAGAGTACGTCGCGGGGAAACGTCTCCCCGAATGGCTCCGACCCCCACACACCGAAGCATCAGAGTGGGACAAGATGAGACCTGACATTCTAATCATACAGGGCCTGCCAGCCAGCAATAACACGATGCAGAAACCCCGGAAGCGCACACGAAACCCGAAACCCTACACTATTCACATCCTCGAGATAGGCTACGCGGGAGACCTCAGACATGCTGACAAACAGCATCAGAAGGCCGACCAGCACAAGCGCCTTGCCGAACTACTCAGGGCGGATGGATGGACCGTACAATACACCACCCAGGAGGCCATCAGCCTAGGAGTAGGAGGCACCATCCGCAAAGACCTTCGAAAAACCCTCATAGACTTGGGAGTCACCCCAAGCAAAGCCACAAAGTGCTGCGAAGCACTTCACCACCACGCCCTTACCCATCTCAACAAGATAATCAGGTGCCGAAGGGTGCTAGAAAACAACCCACGAGCAACCCTCCAAGAGGAGGGATAAGGACACATGCGATCTCTGACCACGTTGACGGTGGTGCTGGCATCCAAGGGCTGACCCCCTTCAGTGCCTCACCCCCTTAATCCACGCCAGGGCTTGCCCGGCGTAACTATTATTATTATTATTATTATCAGTCACAGGAGACCCGACTTGTCCCCTCGGGACCTCCCTAAGCACGGAGCCATTTGCTCGAACCTTTGATCAAGGGCGAGCAACACTACTGCCCAGCGGCATCACACGTCAGGCGGGGATCTGGCTACAAGCAAGGCGCACGGCGGCTGATGAGCCGCAGGCTGACAAGGCTACGTACAGAGAACTGGCTGATCTGGTGACTGAACAATCCGCCACGCTGTGTCACTGTGACACGTTTTGAGCCCAGTAGCCCAGTCGCCCAGTAGCATGCATGCATGGCAAAACTGTCGTGCACATGCAAGACCATCTTCTCTATTCTCATTAAGCACGTGGTGGATCCACGCCTCTCACAATCTTGCATCTACAGTATGGCGATGCGACGGGCGGGCAAGCAACGGACAGGGAGCAACAGCAGAAAAGCATGCATGGGAGGCGCACCATCAAGGGTGCGTGGGTGTCGGAGCAGGATACCAGGCAGGTCGACTGGAGGGTACGCAAGGTGCAGCCGGAGCAGGAGCAGCAGGTTCTACATATTGGGAGGCTCAGCTGCATCTCCCGTCGTAGCAACAGCAGAGACACGGTTACTAGGCCCGCCCTCACGGCGTCAACCCTAGCCAGGCTTCTGCAGACCTGGTTGTCGATGGCGCTGGCTGTAGTGATGGCGGCTGCCAGTCCTGCACTTGATTGCCAGCCCCGTCATCCCGGCCACGTCCTTTGCTCTCCACCGCAATGTCGTTGCTGCTCCAGCCGCCCCACTTGCCATACCTTCCAACCCAACACGTGGGTTTAAGCCCAGCAGAAGCGCTGCGCACCTCCACGGCGCCTCCCTAAGTGGAAATAGAGGCCAAGAGATAGGAGAGGTTGTGGAAAAGGCAAAAGGTCCTGCTGAGATTTGAACTCAGGTTAGCAGATTCAGAGTCTGCTGTCCTAACCACTAGACCACAGGACCAACTGGCTGTGGCAGGATTTGAACCTGCGCCCTTTCGGACAGGAGATCTCGTACGACCTTAATCCTGCGCCTTAGACCACTCGGCCACACAACCTTGTCAACCAAAAGCGCAACAGTCTCGTCCCGGGACTGTTGCACACAGATACGCCCAATGTGGGGCTCGAACCCACGACCACAAGGTTAAGAGCCTTGCGCTCTACCGACTGAGCTAACCGGGCTGATGACAAAGCTCGATGCGCAAGTAACTATACCAAAAAGTCAAGTACGGCATGGCGTCGAAATGCTTTAAATTCAAGTTTTTGGTGCGCCTCCGGACGTTTTCCGCTATCGGTGACCTCTTGGTGCTGCCCTACGGCATGTGGGCGTGTCCAAGGCATGAAAGGCCCTTTTTCTGTACCAACACATACAGCTAGCGCCTCCCTACATGCACACACACACACAGGTCACTGAACGCCACTGCTTTTCTGCCCTCCCCCGAGTCCACCCCCCTCGCATGCCCCTCTCGCTCGCATACAGCGACCTCGCTCCCTTCCCCCTCCCTCTCGGCCGCTTGCCCTCCGCTGGCAGCGCCCCTCCTACCCACGCAGCTACACACACCACCAAATGCCGGAGGATATGAGGCGACCTGGAGCGGCTCCCCCCCAGCAACATCCCTGCCGCGCCACACGCTAGGCAGCGGCAGCACTATGCCCTCATGCGCATCAGTAAGGGTACGGCAGCAGCGGCCGTCGTGCCGCGGCGGAACCTCTGAAGCTTCCCAGCCGCGTGGCCGGAAGAGACGAGCCAGGACTCCGGCCCAAGCCCAGCAGCCCAGCAGCAGCGGAAGAGCGGGGCAGCTCACATGGCGTGCGTGGCACCAAAGGGCAGCGGAAGGGCGGAGGTAAGGGCTCCTGAGTGAGGGAGAGGGCGGCAGAGGGAGAAGGTGAGGGCAAGACCTCGATGCAAGGAAGAGAGCGAGAAGAGGGGACATTAAGGTGAGAAGGCCACAACGCTTACCAACTCATCATCGGGAGCTGTCACGACTTGCATGCAACATGGGAGCAAATCCTTACTTCACTCCTAACCTCCACTCCAAAACTGCGACCCAGCTTATTTGCGTGACACACATCCCTACCCACCTATCGCGTCATGTTCAATCCCCACTCAACGCCACTGCTTCCACTGCTTTTCTGCCCTCCCCCGAGTCCACCCCCCTCGCATGCCCCTCTCGCTCGCATACACCGACCTCGCTCCCTTCCCTCTCTCTATCGGCCACTTGCCCTCCGCTGGCAGCTGGGAGCACACAGCGCCCCTCCTGCCCACGCAGCTCCACACACCACCGCAATGCCGGAGGACATGAGGCGACCTGGTGCGGCTCCCAACCTGGCGCGCCACACAATAGGCAGCAGCAGCACCATATCCTCATGTGGCTTCCCCCCATCTACATCCCTACCGCGCTACACGATAAGCAACGACCGTCGGCTGAACCACTGGAGATTCCCAGCCGCGTGGCCGGTACGAGCTCCGGAAGAGGCGAGCCAGGGTTCCGGCCTAAGCCCAGCAACAGCGAAAGAGCGGGGCAGCTCGCATGGCGTGTGTAGCATGGAAGGGTGGAAGTAGGGGCTGTAGAGTGAGGGAGAGGGCGACAGAAGGAGAAGGTGAGGGCAAGACCCCGACGACGGGGAAGAGGGCGAAGGTTTTGCCCTGAACCCAGCTCTCCTGCCGTCCGCACATCCATGCGCACGTCCCCCCTACTTCCCGTTCCCATCAGCTCTCCCCGGGCTGTGAACCCGCCTGATGGCATGATGCTGGGGGACATAATGGCCATCGAGAGAGCAGCAATTCCGGAATCATGCAACCAGGAAGCTGAATGCCAGCCCCTCCTTCCAGACGAAGGGTTGCCCTTACTCCTCTAGCTAGGACCGCCCTCTCCTCACCGATTGCCATGCGCTCGCATGGTCATCTGCTATCTGACGTGAGAAGCCTTCCCTGACCGCGGCGCAGACGGTGCTCCATGGCTCCCATTGCAAACCAGGCGAACACCATGCCGCTTGAGGCAATCGACGGTGGCAATGTCAATGCTCTTTTTTAAGCTTGGCGCGTGCTGCGAAGGCCACGAACTTACAGATGACCTAGCTGTAGCTGTCGCAGTTGGCTGATGATCGCCCGCTGACGACACTGAGGAAGCTCAATGAGACATAATTTTATTAGCCAGAGAACCATTAAAGTGGAAAGAGCGAGATAAGGCAGCGCAGCCTTGCATAAATGAGTGCATGTTGTCCGGCAGTCCGGCATATTGCAGAAGCTGTCACTTCTACGCAAAGTTCGGGTCGACAAGGCCGACTACGCCATCTCTAATGGCATGTAACCTAGTCCAGTAGTATAATTTTAGCGGAATGCAATTCCGCTAAGTTGAACGCGTGATGTCAAGAAGCCAAAGAGTACGGAAGTGAAAATAAGCTCGCCGTACATGCCCACCCCGTGAAAATAAGCCCGGAGCGCTCCTACCTGGGAGCATTCTGGGACGAGATTCCCTTAGGTTGGCTTAGGATCGGTCCGAATCCAAACCTAAGCCCATAGAAACACCCCTAGTGGTCGAGGATACCCTCCTTCACCTGTACGTTACGGTGTCTGTCGCGTGCGTTTACTTGTTTCTTTATGAAAAACACTCTAAACTCCGCTTTCTAGGAGCTATCAGGAGATGAGGTTCCTTTGGCTGCTTGTCTACATCTTGGTGGCGGATGAGCTTGTGACTTCAAAAGGAGTGCCCGTCATAGCTGGGATAGGTGAAGGATGACATACACAGCACAGCATAATATCATAGCGTTTCCATCATCCGGAATCCTATGGTCGGACCCGGGCGAGTTAACTTCCGACCCCGTGAAGGTCGCATCCTCTTGCGCAGGTATCGGCGACATCACAGGCCCCGTTGCGGATGTTAACCTTATGGTGCGCGGTATCAGGGAGTGAATGTGCTTTTTGACGGTGACTGGCCGTCTTTTTTCTTCCATTTAGCTCTGCTTCCACTCCTTATCCTCAGGGCTATGCTGCTCCCCTCCAGACAGCTCGGGGTCTTCACACACGACTCTTTGCAAGGGCGTTCGTGTTTTTAGAGTCGTCAAAGTCACGGTTCGTGGGTTTGTCCTTTATACCGGTATCCATGGGGATGCATGGTTCCAGGCGGTAGCCTTCAACTCGTGTTAGGCACGATTGCTCAAGCGTGATGCTTCTTACTCGTACGCCTGATGCCATGTTGCACTCACCTGCAGGCGGCGGTTTGTATATGTATCCATGGATGCATGTATGGCATCACAGCTCGTTTCGCTGAGGGTAGTGCAGCGGCTGCAGGTGCCAGGGATGGGCAAGATGTTCAACTGGCCAGGGTAGCAGACAGTCCTTTGCTTTCAGCCAAGGCGGAGCAATGTGGTGCTACTTCCACTTAGGAATACTCATTCTTAATCTCGCGATGTGACTGTCACCTTGCTAAAAAATGTTATGGGTGACGTGCTTGCTTCTCAGGTGGAGTTTGGGGCGGATATGTACGGAGCAAGCAACGTAGCCATCAGCAGCACACACACGCATGCGTCACCTGCTGGATTCCTGCAGTACCTCTTGTACGACATCACGAGTTTGGGATTCATACAGGCCACATTCAATGCCATGGTTGAAGGTGTCCTGACGGTGCGTAGCTTGTAACGCACTTGTTTTTGTACGTAGACCTGTGTGCTGTAAGAGAGCAGGCCAATAGCATTGCTGCATGTTACACGATCAGTGCTCAACTTCTTGTTCAATGCTAAACCTGTACCTGCAAACAGCAAATGGCTAGCCGATTGGCTGGTATATATTCTCTGTCACATCTGGCTATAATCCTTGCATTCTGGCGCTGCTGTCACTAGCTAGGACGGTGCTGGTTACACACGTATCCCTCATTTGTGCCTTTCAATGCCTTCTTGCGCCACTGGATTTCAGGCCATCCGTGCAGCACATGCATCACTTGGCCCTATCAAACTGACGCTATCCAGTGGCGATTTGGAGGCGGCATCTATTAACCGCAGTCCTACAGCCTACCAGGCCAACCCGCTGGGCGAAAGGGGCATGTGCGTTGGGGAAAGGGTTCCGGGTAGGGGCTAGGGAGGAGTAGACTTGATGGTGCAGCGAGATATGTATTTGAACCATGTGCATCTGCTTAAAGTTGGCTTTTGTCTCGTTTCTGTAGGCATTCCCTGGTTACCACACTTACTGAATCCCTTGTCCCACCTCTAGTCCACTCCTTCCCTACCTTCGCTACACTGAATTCCTGCACATTCACCCTTTTCGGACAAGGTATGGCGCAAATGTTGATACCGACATGACACTGATAAGCTTGGTTGACAACTCCACGGGTGCCGGACGCGGCATGCTGGCTTGGTTCGCCGTACACTGCACCTCCCTCAACAACACCAACCGACTGGTATCAGGCGACAACAAGGCTGCCGCACAGCTGCTGCTGGAACGCTGGGCGGCAGAGGTAGAGGTGCAAGCAGCACTGAGGGGGCAGGAAAGTACAGCGACAGAGCATGTTAGCGACGATATGGTATCTAATGTCGCAGCTGCAGCAGCTGCTGAGGCAGTCCTGCGTCTTCGATTGGAAGATATTGCCGGGAACTATAGTCGCAGCAAAGACGATGGTGGCGTTCACCTCCATACCCAATTGGACTTCAGCAGCGATGGCGGCGGTGGCCACAGAATGGAAAAGTCGTCTGGCATGGGCAATAGCAGTACTGGGTGTGTGTTGCGCTTTGAGCCTGGTTTTATTGCTGCAGTGGCGCAGGCTGCAGTGGGCGACGTGAGCCCCAACACAGCAGGGGCATTCTGCCTTGATACAGGTAAGGCATGGCCATAGGAAATGGGAACGCGCCAGCCTAAGGCCTGTTCCTGTAGGTGGTAACCCCAGTCGTGATAGAATGGTTGGCCGCGCCGTGCATCATGTCGCGTTGCATTATGCCCAGCTCTCATCTCGGCCGGGCGTCTATCTTGGCTCCTTGTATCGGTGCATGGATAGCCCAAAGCCCAAAGCTTAGCATAAGGACTTCAAATACCAGTCCTGCATGCATGCCTGTTCTTCCTCCCTCAGCCTCGAACGCCTGCCCGTTGGCACCATAGCCATGCGCATGCCCGCTGTGCAGGTCTGCCGTGTGACGCCGCCACCAGCACCTGCAATGGTCGCAACGAGCTCTGCCATGGCCGCGGCCCCGCATGGCCTGACGGCCGCGCCTCGGCTGCCATCATCGGTGCACAGCAGTTCCAGATGGCACGGTGGCTGTATGAAGCGGCAGCGGTACAGGTAGCACAGGGCGGAGGATGGATGAAGGGGCCGGGGTAAGCCGACTTTCTGTAGGCTTTGTAGGTGGACGTTGCATGTCCAGCATGATGTTTCCGGTTTTAGGTTGCTTGCCCTGTTTGCCAACCCGTGGGTACGAGAGGCGGAGAGGGGCACTGCAGTAAATACAGGTCAAGCTGGACACATTTTCCTAAGGCATTGGGATCCACATAGGCATTGCGTCCTTACAAGGGTACGGACCCCTTAAGGTGCAGATGACACAGGTGCAGGGAACCCAGCTGCATGACTAAGCTGCGGCACTATGTACCCTTGCCGCTCTCCTCTTCCGGTGCCCCAGCCAGAGATGTCCGGTCCCGTGGACTTCCGCTCGACCTTCCTGGACATGACCAATATCACCGTCGCCGCCTCCAACTTGACACGCGCGGGCCGCACCTGCCCGCCGGCCATGGGCATGAGCTTTGCGGCCGGCACCACTGACGGTAGGTTGCGGGGTAGTAGTGTTGTGTATGAGGCAGGCAGGCAGACGGGATGCGGATCAGTGCAAGATGCCGCTAGGGGAGGGGTAACCCATGGGCAGGGGTATCTTCCTTCAACTGTGTTACACAGCACGGACGCCCGTTTGATAGCGGACGTGTGCCTCGGACCAACCACTGCATGGGCACCCGCTGCAGGTCCGGGCGCCTTCGATTTCACACAGGGTGACACGCGCGGCCCGCCCCTCTGGCGGCTTGTACGGCACCTGGTGCTGCCACCCTCCCGCGAGCAACAGCAGTGTCAGTCACCCAAACCCATCCTATTGGACACGGGCCAGATAACGGTACCGTACCTATGGTACGTGCTGTACAGTCGCGTGCGTACGCCGTCTCCTACAGTGTACGGTATCTCTTCATCGCGCCGTTCAATCTGAAACATGTTGTTTCCTGATTCGGACCATGCTATCCAGGGCACTACCAACCTTTCTTACGCCCAGGTGGTCTCTCTTCTATCCTTGTTCCATATTTGGTTCACAACGTTCTTTTCGGATGAGCCCACCATGTGCCCAGCTCCCTAACGTCCCTTCCGTTCTGCCATACAGTACGGGTGTACGGTACCTGTCATCTGTAAGTGCTGAGAGCTGCATCCTGTGTTGCCGCCTTCTAGATAGCTTGCACTCGCCTTGCATCGCGCCTCTCACGACATGCAGCCCTGTCCTCCATGTGCTTGCGCCCCCGGCCTGGCAGGCAGCCACGTGTAACTCAGATCTCGCTGCTGCGTTTGGGTCGCCTGCTCATCGCGTGTGTGCCGGGGGAGTTTACCACCATGGCTGGAAGGTGCGCAACCAGTGTGGAGGCCGTTGCAGCCCAGGGTGCGGTTCTATGATGTAATGTGATGTGGTGTTACGTGGTGGGGGCCCTATCATATAGAGTTTGCTCATACAAACAGAAGAAAATTATAAAGAGTTGTTGCTGCTTGTTGCTAGTGCTGTTCCGGCAATTGTTGTATTGACGGTCGCCTTGGCAAGGCCACTGTCCCAGTTTAGGTCTCCGTCGCTTCCTGCCACCGCTGTCTCCGTCTGCTGCGGGTGCCGGTGTTTCTGTCAGGCGCCTCAAGAGGGCTCTTTCAGAGCGCTTCGCGGCCGCCTGGGCTGCCCAGGCAGCAAGTGGAGGAAGGGGCGGAGGCCACGAGGAGGGAAGGCCGGTGGTGGTGATATCTGGTCTGACGGGGACGTACAGCAGCTACGTGACCACCTGGGAGGAGTACCAGGTTGGGGAGGGGAGGGGAGAGCAGGGGAGGAGGAGAGGGGAGAGGCAGGAGTTGGAAGCACGTGGATGTCTTGGTGCCCTAGAGAGTACGCCTTAACTTGTGGTGCTAGGTGGGAAGGACGATGAGGGTTAAAGGAAAGGGTATCGACAGCATTGGCAATGCGTTCGGGGCTTTACTCGTCGTACGCCCCATCTTGTACACCTTGTATGACGTACGGCAGGTTCAGCGGTACGAGGGCGCCTCAACGCTGTACGGGCCCCACACGCTGGACGCCTACATCCAGGTGGGCCGCCAGCAGCAGGCAGTGGGGCCCAGTGAGGGGTTCGTGTGGGTTTAGCCAACCCGGACGGCAGTGGGAAAGAGATCCGTGGAGAACAGGCATCTACATGCATGGCGAAGAAGGGGGAGGCTGAATGCGCATTTGATTGCCATCTGGTGCCATAATTATCACCGCTGCCTCCCGCGTCGTTCCCCACCTCTTCCCCATTTTTCTGCTCAGGAATTCCTGCGGTTGGCTGATGCCATGATCGCGGGCACTCCGGTGGAGAGCGCCGTACAGCCGCCGGACCTGGAGGTAAGCTGCAGGGGGGGGAGGCAAGCTGCAGGGGGGAGAGGTAACGAGGAAGAAGTACCTAACCACGGGGTGGGGAGGGGGTCTGTATGGCTGGGTTTCACGGCTTACTACTGGTTACTGGAATAAGAGCACATGGACGTAACGCGTGTGTTGCGTGGTCTCTTATCCATTTAGTGGAAGCTCATCTGCTCTGGAAGCCCACACGGACTCCTCCCCAGCCATATTTCTGTCCGTCCTTCCAGGGATCCAACCCCGCGCTCTTTGGGGCCATTGACTGTGCTCCTATCGTTCCCGTCCTGCGTAGTGTTCTTTGCCTCTACTACCGTATACATGCTTCCATACCCCTCATCTTCATCCCTTAACCCACGCGCTCCTCACCCCAAAGTCCCAGCAAGTGAGCCTGCTTGCCCCCGTGGTGGTGGACTGGGTGCCTCCGGGGGCCGCCTTCGGAGCCGTCACGCAGCAGGTGCGGCCCAGCTACTCAACCGGGCAGACGGCGCAAGCTACCTTCAGGTGGGGTGCGGGGTGGGGGACCCCGCTGCGGTGGCAGGGAAGCAGAAGTGGGGGGGGGGGTAGGGCAGCAGAAGCCGCAGCAGTAGTTTGGAACGGCGAACCATGCACGTGGTTGCTGTGTTGTGTCAGATAGCTTATTGCAACTTACAACGGTGTGCGTAGCGTTGCTTTCTTCATGACGGGTGGCCAACATGAGGTGGTGGGGTGTTGGACAGACGTATAACCCTCCTCCCTCTTCTCTCTCTCCTGCAGGGCCGCCAACCCTCGCAACAATCTGCGTACCAACCTGACCTTCATGGCAGTCGAGGTGCTGCTGCCGCCGCCGCCAGCACCGGGGCAGGCAGCTGCGCAGGCAGCTGCGCAGGCAGCTGCGCAGGCAGCTGCGCAGGCAGCACTGCATAAACTGCTGCTGGTTCGGAAGCACCAGCAGCAACATATGTGTGATCCGCAGCAGCAGCAACGGAGCCAGCAGCAGCAGGAGCAGCCACAGGGAGAGCAGCTGAACAGCAACGCACACGGGACCATCTCTGGGCGAGCGGCTCGTTCGCTAAAAGCAGCCGCAGCGGCCGGCGGCGGCAGTGGAGATGCTGTCGATACTGATGCCGATGCTGTAAGGGTGGCTGATGCTGGTGGTGAGCTGGGAGGCGCTCAGCAGCAGTGGGGACTTCATGGCTCCCGCTCGAAAGCTGGCGTGAAAGAGCGGATGAGGGAGGTTGAGGAGAAGATAATAGAAGTGAAGGAGAGGGCGGAAGGGGCGGCGGAGAGGGAGGATGGCGAGGTGGATGCGCCCGATGTGTCTTCTTCTTGCAGCTCGGTTGAGGGCGAGTGGCGGGTTGTGTATGACGACCGGGACTGGATCACTCGCTTCAACTGGTACAGGTACGGCACAAGGAGCGGCTGTGGGATGTACGGTAGTACTGCAGGGCGCTGTTACGTTGGATACCTTGGGCTGCTCTGTGTTGAGTGAGGAGGATTACCCAAGGGCGGGAATGCGCTTCACAGTCACTTCCCTCAGTCCGCTGTTGCGCAGTACCTGGACTAGGTCTCAACGTCTTGGCTTCTCCTTCGTCCCCTCCTGCAGGCCCTTCAAGCTGTCTCCCGAGTCCTTCGCAAGGCTGGAGTGGGACATCCCGCGCAACATCCCGCCCGCCACATACCGCCTGCGCTACTATGGTGACGCGCGATCCATCACGGGGCGGATAACGCCCTTTGAGGGCTGCTCCGACCCCTTCAGGGTGGAGTAAGTGCTGGCGGGGGCGGGTGGAGTGGTGTTGCCGCTATGTAACTTTAGACGATGACCGGCGGGCATATAGGCATCTGAGGTTAGGACATTCAATGCATCATCATGGAAGCATAGGGTTTGTACGAGTGCGATTTCTGAGTGCGGACTGTTGCGTGAGGCAGGAGTGAAGGCTTGGTCCATTGTGTTTTGTCTTCGTAAAGAAAGGATGAGGGGTGCTGGGTGCTCGTTTGCTTTGCTACAGATCAGGAGTTCAGGATGGAGAGGATACATTGATGCGTGGAAATATGCTTGCATGGAAAATGGCATGTCGTAGGCTCATCCGTAGCTAAGGTTAGTGTCGCCTGCATGGCAGTCCAAATCCCTTTGTGCTTGCACAGTGGGTAGATGGACAAAAGCGCTAGGAGAACATCGGTGTTGTGTAGCTTTAGGTGAAGTCTCGGTTTTGTGTGTCATGCATGTGAGGCCTGTTTGCGGTTAGTACACAGGTTCTTTGCCCCTCTAGCTTTGGGCCTACTAATTGAATTACGGTGTCCAGCAAGGGCCTTGCTGGTGTACTATACATTTTGGCAGCTATGTTTGCTCGGGTAGGGTGGCACACCCTAGGAAGTTTGTACGGCAAGGCATACTTCTTCGTTTCACGTCTGCGCATGTAGGGATGTGGCATGTTCCAGTTGCGGTTATGGTATGTAGTTTTTCCACACTTCCAACAAGCACTATGGTTACATGCATCTTAAGAACCCCTTGTCATGTGTTGTCTGCGGTTTCCCACTCCAGAACTGAAGGCCGGTATCGGTGCAGTCGTGTTGCGCAAGAAGCGGTCAACTGCAGCAGCAATTGCTGCAATTACAAGCAGTGCAGGGATCAACGGTTACCGTACGGGTACGCCAATACCGTACACACAATTGGGGTAAACCGTCCAGGAGCCACACACATGCGGCTCGCCTTAAATGAAAGCCTTGTAAGCACGTTTCACCATATTCCCAGGAATCGTGCTGGTCCGTATCACGCGCATCTGTGTGATTTCCGATGAAGCAGGACAGGGCTGCTCCGAAGCGGAAGCTGTGGCATGACCCTCTCCAAAGCAGCTACCTCACACCATTATTCACACTTTCTTCAGCAGATTGGCATCAGCCATCATCATATTACGCATCAGTAAGCACACTCCTGTCTACCTGGGAGACCGGCTGGCTGGACCCCGAAAACCACATCAACAATGCAACAGTCATCAGGACATATAGCGACGCTGCTCCTGTGTTCCTCGTTCCTCCGCCACGTATTGGGCCACGTGCACGCCGCCTCAACCCGCACCCAACGTTTCGCGCAGGGGCAACGGCACGGTTTTGCTTACCCTGCACCCATGACTGCTAAACAAACGAGGAGAAAACCAAGTGAGGTAGGCGTTGTCACGCCGTTGTCCTTTTGCACGGCGTCCACAGGATTACCAGGAGCAACATTGGGGTCGGCATGCAAACGGCACGCATGAAATACCGGTACGCGCGCAGACGCACGCACACGGTTATCAATTTCTCATGCAAGTGAGGGTTGTTGCCCTTTCAGCGCTGCGTCATCCATTGGGATCCAGCGCATCCGCGTATGCGGCAGCAAGCCACCCCACCTACGACAACCATTTCAGCAGTATTACTGTACTCTTCCACCCTCTAGCCTTCCACCCCCCTGCCCCAAAATGCTGCAACCTAATTCAGCATGTGCCTCCCTGCCCAGTTAAGTCCTCCGTGCACAAGTCCACGTTTATTCATCACTGCAAGCCGTCCTACCCTAACGATGCGCACGCCAACACAGCCTCACGCCACCATCGCCACAGATTTCTAAAGCCCTTTCCCCTTCATGCCCCCATCCCAGCGACGTCCTACCCCCTCAACAGAACTCCCCCTCAGCACTGTGCGTTCGATTAACCCAGTTTCATAACCCAGGAAACACCAACGTTTCCCGACGTTTCCCGACTCATCCCACCTCCCCCTAAGTTGCCGCACCGTACATCGCACCCCTTTCCGCTCCCACACCCTACGCCGTCCGCTGCAGGTTCTTCGCCCGCGTCTGCAGCCTCACCATCAGCTGCTTATCATCTTTGCACTCCCAGTGCTCCCGCAAGCGCCCGAACAGCAGGTCTAGCAGCGCCTCCAGCAGCGATGACAGCCGTGGAGGCGGGGGAAACCACTCGGGGGGAGGCGGCGCAGCCGTCGCAGCGGCGGCAGCGGCGGCGGCGGAACTCGCAAGCGTGCGCGCGGCGCCGCTGCTGCGCTGCACGAGGGTGGTGCTGTTGCGGCTAAGCAGGGAGCCCGGGCCTGCGATGGATGTGCGGGAGGGCAGGCGCTGCATGCTGCTGCTGAGGAGGGCGGCGGCGGCGGTGGATGTGGATGTCGTACCGGTGCCGGCACCCGTGCCGGGGGATAGGTTGCTGGTATCGGTGTTGGAGGTGGTGGTTAGGGTGGCGTTAGGGGCGCTGCGGGCTGCTTCTGTGGCGGCAGCGGCGGCGGCGGCTTTGGCGGCGGCAGCGGCCTCCGCGGCGGCGTGACGGCGTGTTTGGAGGATGGGGACGGGCAACTGGGGAGGGTGGGGGGAGAGGACGGCGGGTTAGAGACTTCACAGTAGAGTTTTGAAGAGAAGAGGGTGGCCGAGACGCAAGAGCAGAGACCAAAAGCTGCTGAAGGCTAAGTTGGGTGTGGCTCCACGGGTTTCAGGAGCGAAGCCAATACAAGGAGCCGCGGCAGCTGCTAACACAGTCCAGCAGGCGGACTGGATTCAAAGCCCCTGAACGCCAGGGCACCAGGGCTCGGTAAGCTCTGTAAGCATACACCCTTGATTCCCGCGATGGCGGCAGCGGCTTTCTTGTCCCTTACCACTATCCCTCCCGCCCTCCCCCGTCTGCTCACCACGGTGTAGTAGCAGAGCCAGGGGTGGACCATGATGGCGTCCAAGCTGCTGCCGTACAGCCCCATCACCTCGCGCATCGTCTCAGCAACCTGTGGAGTGTACGACAACCGAGGGGGTTGGGTGGGTGGGGGACGGCGGGCCAGAAGGACTGGGTGTTCCACATACGCTGTCGCCGGGTGGCATGTGTGTCGCTGCTCTGGCCGTCGGCATCGCTTCAGATGTCACACATAGGGCCCTCTTTGCCACTAGGTTGCCAGGCCCGCCCCTCACTTCCTGCATAACCCCTAACACCCTCTCTACCCCCTACCCCCTCCTCCGCTTACGTTTCAAGTATTTCATTCCTTCTTTTCTTACCCCTCCTTCCTCTCTGACCCCGTCCCCGCCCCTCACCTCCTCCCTGCTCGGCGGCGCCATCTCCTCCGCCAGCCGCGCCAGTGCCTCCATGAGGTCGCAGCGGTCCAGACACACCGCCCGACTCCAGCCGCCCACCTCGTCCACCACCACACACAGGCTGCGAGCAAAGGCCAGCTTGGCGGCGTGCGAGGTCAGACCCGTGGCCTCACCTAGAGAAACGGTTGGAGGAAGGGAAAGTTTGGGAAGTGGAGGAAATGGACGCAGGGGAGGCGGGATGGAAGAGAAAGGAGGCGGCTGTAGGCCAGGGAGAGCGAGGGATGGCGTGGCGGGCTGGGGAGGGTTCACGCAAGGAGCGTGGTGGGGTAACGTGCGGGTTGCACGTGTGTGCAGTTCAAGACGTGTTGCCGTACCTAGGAGACCGCAGGTGCTGATGAGGCCCATCCAGTCAGACAGGTGCACCAGCTGGTTCTTGTTGTGCGCGCGGAGGACGTCGTACAGCACCTGAGGGGCCGGGAAGGGAGGGGGCGGGGAGGGGCGGTTAGAGCAGTTGAGGAGGAAGGAAGAGGGCGTTTCGTGCCGCAACACACGCATCCTTACCCACCTCCACTTTCCCCATCCAACCACCTTTCCCCCCTTCCCAGCTCTCACAACCATACCCACTTGTATTGTATCTTCCAGAATATCCATTCCCTAATTACCGGTAACCCCCCCGCCCCAACCCCAATTCTAGCCCAGTGCGGCATATCCATTCCCTCTTAATCCCCACCCCCACCCCTCATCCCCCCTACCGTGATCAGGTCCGCATGTGCGGTGAGCAGCTCGTTCACATCGTGGTCGTCGTACAGCCGGCCTATGCGCCAGGCGTTGGGCTCGTGCAGCGCGGCGGAGGGCAGGGCGGGCAGCACGTCAATGCGCCACATGCGCTCCAGAGCCGCGGCGATGGAGCCTGCGGACATGCGGAGCAGGGTGGGCCGGGTCAAACGGGGGAACGGGGTGAGAGGGCAATGGTGGTGGTTGGGGTGGTTGGGTTGTCACCGGTTGAGAAATGAGCTGAAGTTCTCAACTGCCTAGTTGAGAAATTAGATGGAATTTGTACAGCGAGGAAAGGCCGCCCTCCTCACGCCGCAGCTGCTTGGTCCCTCTCAACCCCACTATGTGTTTTGCTTCTCCTTCTTCCCCTCCTCACCGCACTTGTCTCCCCCCTTGACGTGGCGCGCGGTGGCGAGCCGGATGAGCGCCTCGAACCACTCGGACCGCAGCAGCGCCCGGTCCAAGTGGACCTGCATGGCAGGTGAAGAAGATAACAAAATAAACACCAAACCACAAATGAGGGCAAAACAGCGGCAGCGAGGACTGGATGGGAGTGGAAAGCCCCGGTGAGGTGAAGGGGAAGAGAGGTGAGGTGGAGGTGAAGTGGGGGAGACGACAGAAAGGGGGGAGCGAGTGGAATACCGGTAGGCGAAGTACGGAGTCTGGAGGGGACACGGGGGAGCAGAGGCAGCGGGAATGCTGACAGTCCCGGTCACGCCCTCCACCTCGCACCTGGCCCTCCAGCACTCTCTTCTCCGCCTCCGCCAGTACGACAGACAGCACCGAATCCGCCAGCTGGTGCAACCCCACCGCCGCCCCCGCTGCACCGCCGCCAGCTGCAGCCGGGCCGCCGCCGCCGGCCCCTGAAGACGCTACACTCGCTGCCCCTGAAGCAGCAGCAGTAGCCGAGCCTGAGGCTGCCTGTCGCTCGGAATCCCGCTCACGCGGCGTCGCACGTGTCATCCCGCCACCGCGACTGCTGGCGGGCGCCGCCGCTGACGCCGCCGCCGATGCGGTGGAGGTCCCGCCCCCGCCAGGATTGGATAACCGCAGCCTGCTGGTAGCCTGCAGCGCAGTGCCCACTACGGAGATGCGGGAGCGTGTTAGGGTGGAGTTGGGGGTGGGGCTGGAGGAGGTGCCGCCGGCGGTGCTGCCGGCAGTGGCGCCAGCGGCTGCGCCGGCCGGGCCGCCTGCTCCCGCTTCTGGCGGGACACCCGTGAGGCCACAGTCGCAGACAAAGGCCCGCCACTCGTGCTGACCCATGGCGAAGCAGCTGTCGGCGTTGCTATTGGCTGGGGGGGGGGAGGGACGGAGCGGAGTGAAAGGAGGAGGATAGCAAGGGTTGGAGAGAGGTGTCGGCAAGGGGTTGGGAAGGCGGAACGATGGATGAAGGACCTGGAGTGTCAACTCAAGAGCCACAGGTTGGACAGAGCAAGCAGTGAGCTGAGAGCCAGACTACTCGGCTGGACAACGGCCATTCACCCACCACCTGAATCGTCCTAGCACCCCGCCCAAACCGCCCGCCCACGCACCCGTCATGCAGTAGTACAGGAAGACGGAGCGCATGGTGTCCTTGTGCCGCAGCAGCACCGCCAGGCAGGCATCCAGCGCGTGGCCCAGCCCGGTGGTGCCTGCAGCGACCCCTGGGTCATCTCGCGCCACCAGGCCGCGGAAGGAGTCCTTGCGCACCACTCGGTTCCAATCGCGCCGTACCTGCCGCTCCCGAACTGCGATGCGCGGGTGAGTGCAGGGATTGAGGAGAAAAGACAAACACGTTGTACCGGTAAAGGGTTAGGACTTAGGAGAGGTTAGGAGATGAAATGAAGAAAGGGGATGTCCCGGCCACCTGCATGATACCTGCAGGAGCTCCGGCAGGCAACTCCGCGAACTCCACGCCCCCATCCATTTCCATTCCGCCCCGCCCTACCTGCGTTGTTGTCAATCATGTCCTCCGAGTCGCAGCCCGCAGCTCGCGGCAGGAAGACACTTTCTACGGGGGCGCTCTGCTTAAACACCGTGTTCTGGCGCGCCAGGCCGCGATTTGAGGGGGAAGGCTTGGGCTGCTCCTTCTGCGGGTTGGGGGGGAGATGGCAACCGCGTACCGGTATGGAATGGGCGGGTCGGAAAGCATGGGGCGGTTGGATGGTAGCAAAAAGGTGGTCCCGGTATGAAGGTATACGGCATCGGACGGGGTTGTGTCACGCGTCAGCATGTCATAGCGATGCATGCGTGGGGGCTGGGCAGCAGGAAGGCAAGCATGAAGGTGGTGGCTCGGGAATGCGTGCCCTCCAACCACTCCCCAGCCCCTCACCATCCACCCCCACTGTGTCCGCCTACCTTGGGGGGCGCATCTCCGGGCGCCACAAAGAAAGGCCGGGCAAAGTGCAGGGTCGACAGCTGTGCGTACCATCAGGCAGGAAGGCAGGGAAGTTCGTAAGCACAAGGATGGAGATGTCTTAGCGGGACCATTCAGACGTGTACAGATGAGTGCTCAGGTCCGGATGAGGTGCCGGTATCCCAGGCAACGCAAGTACACTCGAAGTATAAACAACTAACATGCAAGAGTGCCATGACGCATGTGAGCGTGCAGGGGCCTGGACAGTGCTGTGAACTGCTTTCCAAGGGCCAACGCTTCTGTTTCATTCCCCCTTAGTTCAAACGGAGCAGAACAAGCCCCACCTCCCGCAGCGTACCTGCTTATGTAAAGCTTCCGCCGCCAGAGCGTCCTGGGGGTGCTGGCCCGCACAAGCTAGTGCCACGCGGCCCCGTTCCGCAACCTGCGCAGCGCCAGTGCAAGGAACATGGAGGCGGGACACAAAGGAGACGTTGGGCGGAGACAATAGGAGACGTTAGGTGTCGGGCAATCGAAACCTCGTCGAAACACGCATAGTAGCCGTGCTATAGGTAAATTACACCTCTATACAACAAAAGCCAAGCTAGCTGTCGGCGACAAGCCACGCATGGCATTGTCAGCCCAGGCCCGGAAGAGGGAAGACAGATGCAGCAACCGAAGTACGACAGGTCCAGATATACGCAAAGGACAGCTTGCAGTTGCTTAACTAGCGCATATGGAGGTAACTGCGCACATCCATCGTGGCATGCAGTGAAGGAACGCTGACTGGGCAGCGTCCACTAAAACAACATCATATGTTTATGAGCCACGCTCGCGCCTTCCTTGGTGTGTCTTAACGCTATAGTAAGCATTGACATCACTTCCGGCAAGGCACGTCATGTACTAGATTCCACAAAAGGGGGGACTCTCATCCACATATCTCAGCAATGTCGCCATCGCAAAGAGCGGAGAAGATCGAAGAGGTAAGCTAGACTACGTTTGCTGTTGAACTTCACATTGGGCATCAAACACCCTTCAACTCGCGTCAGGCGTTCGCGCCATTTCCCTAAGCAGGTGGCAGTTTAAACAGCTATCGGATCCTGACAATCTGGCGCGCATGCCTAATGCTGGCAAGCTAAGACGAAGAGCTAACGGCAATAATGTATTGCACTAAGGAAGGAAAAATGTAGGAAACGGTAATGACATGCCGCACTCTAATGTCATGACACACATGAGCGCGAACCTAATTCTCGCATCACACCATGAGAAATACTGAAACAGGAATGCACAGAACGAGCAATGTCTACGTCCGGTCGCATCCAACGAAATTCGAGAAGCCATGAGCTCGACTTCCTGCACTATAGAAGCAATCCTGCGCTCGCTAAGCATCCGCATCGCTCCACTCTGTTCATCGCACTAGCGGGAGAAGAGTCGCAGCGGTGGGATGCGCCGCCTTGGACAACACGCGCTGGCGGAAACACATGATCGTACCCCCAGGTCCCCACATCCTGAAGCTGGTGTCCCCACCTTGCGGTAAAGCGCCACCTCCGCAGCAGCCGCGTCCTCACGAAAGCCTGAGAAATGAGCAGCGGTGGTATGGGGGCATGGAACGTAGCAGGGGAACGTAGGTTATCATAATATAATATGATAGCGCAGTCTGGGATGACAACGCGTTTCTGCTGAGGCGATGCAGAGTGATTGAACATGTGGAGACACCACATCTGCGGAGGAAGCGACCGGCATCACAACATACCGTCCAGCGCATGTCAGCACCACCACCTGCTGCACTTGCGGAACGTTTATGCAGAGCCCTGGGGCGGCTTCTCGGCGAGTGCATTTTCTAGATCCCCCTCCGTCTCTTAGCCACGAACGGGACGTGCCCCACTTCCCGATCCCCACCTGCCGGGTTGAACATCACGGCTAGCGCCGCCTTCTTTCTTAGCCGCCGCGACATGCGCTCGGGGGATCCGTAGGAGCCAGTGAACACCTCCGGCAGCTGGCGGGGCAGAGGGGAGGAGGGGATAAGAGGTGAGAGAAAGGGTCACCCTTTAGCGTTGTTCCGTTCACCCCTCTCTATCCTACCTAGGATACCGGTAGTCTTACTGGTGGATGGTTCCTAGCGGGCCTCCAAAGTCACATGATCGAGTCCTAGCTTGTCCTGCTCCACTTTCCCGACCTTCAACCCCGGAATGCTCCACCCATCACTCACCGCGCCATCATCCACCAGCCAGGCGTCTTGCAGCGATACTCTTGCCACTCCTCCACCGGCCGCTGCCGCCCCCACTGCCCCTCCACCTCGTCCTTCGCTCGTTGTTGCAGCTGTGACCACTGCTTCCCATGTCCCCGCCCCCGCCCCTGCGCCTGCCCCCGCCGCCTCCCGCCTGCGGCTTGCCTCCCGTATGACCTTGCTGAGCCGCTCCGCCGGCCCCGCCGCCCCCTGCTGCGTCATCATGGCCACCGCCTTCATCAGTCCGTCCAGCAGGTCGTCCGAGTGGCTCTGACCCGTGGGGAACACCGACAGGTCTGAAAGGGAAGGGAGGCGGAAAAGGAGGAGGAAGGAGGCGGGTGGGAAAGTGGGCCCGAAGCAATGAGCTTGGAGCGCCAATGGCCTTAGGATAGAGCCAGATGTTAAGGAAGGGGAGTTGTGCGCGGGGCGAGAAGAGTGAGGGACAGCCGCGCAGACACTCCCACCCCTTCGTGGCTACCCCTTACACAAAAGGGGTAAGGGACGCAGCAACCCCTACCCACCCAGCTCATCTTCCTCTGGAATGGTCTCCTGCGCGCCCAGCGGCGTCCCCTGCATGCTGCTGCCACCCTGGCTGACCATGCTGCTGCTGCCGCCCCGCCGCAACATGCCGGTTACCGCTCCCCAGCCCCCACCACCGGGAGAAACCGACGCAGCAGGGCTAATGGGCTCGGTAGTTGTTATGGCTGCGGATGCTGTTGCTGGTGGCGATGGTGGTGTTGACGGGCGTGCGTCAGGCGGCAGGTTAATGGTGACAGAGAGGCCGGAGGGGGCGGGTGGGGCGGAGGGAGAGCCGGCAGCACTGATTGGTGTGGAGGGGGAGGTGGGGTCTGCTCCGGTGCTGAAGGACGTCACGGAGCGGACGGAGAAGGATGTGGCGGCGGAGGTGGCGGGGCGGAGGGTGGGCAGCGAGCGACTCAAGGAGGGGTTCCGGGTGGAGATGGAGGGATTGCGGGTGGATGTGGAAGGGTTGCGCGCAAAGGACCTGCAAGGGAGAGGTGGGGTGCAAAGGAAGGGAGGAGGTGGGAGAGATGGTTTAGCAAGAGGGAGGCAAGTAATGAAATGAGAGCGAGGTTATTTGGGAAAGCGCCAGGGAAGGAGTTAGAAGGTGTTGTCGTCTGCTGCCACCGTGTTTGTATGGGCAACGGCCGGTGGCGGCTGCAGAGAAGGCCGGTGGGGAGGGGGTTACCCTCACCTGGCTCGGTTAATTAGTGAGAGCTCGTCCCCCTCCTGCGAGGAAGGGTGGCACGCGCAGCAAGGGGCCGGGAGGGAGGGGGGCGTAGGTTACAAGAGAGGAATGTCGTGGTAACGAGGATCAGGCTAATGTCACAAACAGTCAACTAGTCGTCAACAAGGGTATGACGGCTATGATGGATCAATTGCCCTGAGCCATCGGCCCCTCCTCCTTTCCTCATCCCCCCCCCCCACCTGCAGCGAAATGTACCACTATCACACCACACATTGGAATTTCGTTTTTTCCCCACCTGCAGCGACTCCACGAACTGCGTCACCGCGTTGTGTTCCCGGTTGCGAGTAATTGCTCGCCGTACGGCACTCTGCAGGTGCTCCCGTACACTGCATACACATTGACATGGACGTGGGGGGTGTAGCATAGTTACGGTGGTGGGGTTGTGAGAGCGTGCGCGCACGCTGGACTGGATACGGCTGGGAGCGAACTCCCGGACGAGGAGGGAGGGAAAGGGCAAAGGAGAGGGCGCAATGGTGACGCGCCACCGTCCAGGCAGCTAGTACCCTGACCGTCACGGCTCTCGGGTATCCTCCTACACGGTAACCAGGACTCAGGGCTGGGCCCTTCCCCCGCGCTGGTCGTACTCACGCGTAGTCGTTGGCTTCGCTTTCCTCCGGGTCTTCCTCCGAGGAGACGCTGCGGGAGGAGTCGGAGCCCTCTTGGGAGTCCAGCGGGCGAGGTGGCGTCAAGCGGAACAGCTGCACCTGCGGGGAAGGAGGGTGGGATAGAAGGGTGGGGGTGGGGGAGGGGGTGGGCCAGGGAGACCGCAGAGGGGGGTGCGGAAGACGGAAGCAAGAGAGGGGTATGACAGAGGGCTTTCACAAGGATAATTGGCCTCTTCCTTACTTATCCCTTCCTACCGTTGCCGCCGCCACCTTGGAGTCCAGCCGTATGCCCAGGTTCTCCAGCCGCCGGTGCTCCTCGGGCGTCAGGGAGGCCAGGTCCAGCTCGCGCAGGGCGCTCAGGGAGGGGAAGCGACCGCCCCCACCGCCGCCGCTGATCACACCGCCGCTGCTGCTATTGGGGCCGCCTCCGCTGCTGCTAGTCGGTCCGCCGCTGCTGCTAACGGGGCCACTGCAATTGCCGGCCGCATTTGCGCCGCCCCCGCTGCTGCCGGTTGCGGCAGCCGCAGAAATGGCCCCGCTGCCTCCACCTCCTCCCGTGCTGGCGCCGCCGTCTACGTTAGCGTCGCCGCCCGCTGGGTCGCTGCCGGAACCCGCACTGGTAAGCGGAGGGGCGGGGCCGGGCTGCGGAAGCTGCTGCTGCTGGGCGGCCTGTGCGCGCAGGGCGCCGAACAGGACTTTGTCTTGCAGCGCTAGCAGACGTACCACATTCTGTGAGAAGGACAGGGGTGGTTGGGTAAAGGTGGGTGTGTGTGGGGGGGCGGGGGTGAGAGAAAGAGCGAAGGGGGCAAATGATAAGGATGACGAACATGGTTCCTACAGCCCCATACCGGTATACCGGTAGACGACACTGCTCCTACCTGACCTCCCATCATCATCGTCTTCCCTTTTTCCTCTCGTTTGTTGGACATTTCTATCAGCCCGTAGCAAACGTTCCTAAGCAGCCCAACAAGCTCCCCGACCTACCGCACCCCGTTCCGCGATGCAGCCGCCAGCCTCAGGGCGCCCCACTGCCCCACACCCCGCCAGCGGTTGCTGGTACGGGTGCGGTGAGGACAAGGACAAAGGCGACGTAGACACGGACGACACCGGTAGCTGACCGAGTGACCCGTGGGTCAGCCCCACCTGCCCGCTGCTGGGCCTCAACGGTGTCTGCGCCTGCAGCTCCGGTGACGGGGGGGAAGATTGACTTATGGGTCCTGATGCACTTATACGTGGCATGGGTGGCAGCGGCAGCAGCTCCTTATACGAAGCCTGACTGGTGCCCAGTGCGCTGCCTGCTCCTGCACCTGTTGCGCCGCTGATGGCGCTGCCGCCAGTGATACTAGAGGCGTCTCCTGAGGCTGCAACTGCCGTACGTGTGATTGCTGCCGCACGGGATGCCACGTGGGCCTCCAGCTTGGCTGCATTGGCGCTAAGCGCGTTGAGTTTCTTAACGCTGATGAGGTCCAGACCGTGCAGGCGCCTGCCGTAAGCCTCTGTTGTTGCGGGCGGATAGTGTCGTTAAGATATCGGGTGGATGCGAAAGGGTTACATGGCTAAGGAAAAAGGGTAGGCATTCAGCTGTGATAAAGCGGGTGTAACCTGGCAAGGATTCGCTGTATCCGGCATATGTATGATGTCATGCCCCCTGGAGGGAAGTGCACAAAGGGGTGGATACGACCCACAATTGCCGGTTTTAGCTGAGGTAAGCAGCGCCACCCCTCCTCCTAGGCACTAGTACAGCCGGTATGGGGTATGGCTTGTGGGATGATATAATGGCTATACTCATTCAGTCATCAAAGCTTAACCCGTCGCTAAGAAGGAACGCGTTCCTCGGACTATAACGCTGCCAGGATATCAGCACATACCTGCAATTATTTCCTGTGTGGTAGGCCTCGCGCGAAGGCCGTAGCCTGGAGGACCCATGAGGCTTGCGGACAAAAGCCGCTGCGGAGCCCCGGACCCGTACTGAGCGGGACTTGACGACATGCCGCTTCCATTTCCAACAGGTATGCCCGGTTGAGTCCACCGCCTTGTGTCCACAGCTGCCATTGCTTGGTTGTTGTAAACGCTTAACGCCGAAACCTCATATTTCGGACTTTAATACATATAAGTCTGCCAATTGGCAGTAAAATGTAATTATTGTAGCTATTTGATGTAAAGCTGAGCTAAACGCACTTTGGGTCTTAGACGCTCATCGCCTTATGCTCTCGCATCCCTACATGTTGCTTAATGAATAACTGTTATACACATGCTAGGGTTGCAGCAGCTCAAACTGGCGAGTGGTATCTAGCTATGAAGGCATCAGTGTCCACGGTTAGTGCGCGGAAGGTTACACACATTGGCCGCGCAAGAAGGAAACGTGTATATGTGAATTGAGTTCTATACAATTGCCTGGTTACCAGGCCTCCATTGAACCGCGCTGTGCATGCCATGTGTACGTAACCCGTACGCCGCGCTAGTAACACATGCCATTCACAACCTGTCACGGCCTGTAATGTAAACACAGACGCCGCAAAGGTTATGTGCAGCCCTTTGCGGGGCATTACTAACATCGGTTCCGGCCGTACTGCTATTTGAGGAGCAGGCAGCTGCAAATATGCACACCCGGAGAGCCACAACGGATGCAGTGTTAGCTAGGAAGCTGAGTAGTAGTAAAACAGCGCCCCTTGGCATATGTCTAAAAGGGTTATGTGTCTGGGCCTCTGGGGTTATAACTCAATACTGTGGTGTAGCGTTAGATACGATACAATCACATACCTTAGGTGAGCCGATGGGCTGGCATTAGTACAACTTCGCCAACAACAAGCTAAGCAAACTTATTCGGGAACTTCCGCGCGCTTGTCGCCACGGCCCAGCAGCTGGCGGAAGCGCTGTCGTGTTGGAGCTGTGACATCTGCCTTTCGACCTTTGCTCCAGTCCGCATTCTCCCTGCACAGCAGCTGCTGTTGCCCCTGCGGTTGCAACGCCCCTCCAAAGCGCTACAGCTGTACCGCTCCAGCTCGTGTGTGCTTGTGCATGATCCTCTTGCAGCATTCCTTCCTCTGCTACCATGCGCCCCACCGCCATCACTCCTTCGCCACCGGAACCGGCTCCACCTCTCCCCCTCTTATGCCGGATCCCGCTGCCGCTGGTCCTGCCTGACACCCTCCACTTCCTCCTCCTGCCTTCGCAACAGCGCCTGCCCCTACTCCTGCCGCTGCTCCGTGCCCCGCCGCCCCCTCATGCACCAGCAGGAGCTCCCAGCCAGCCGCCTCCAGCCTCCGAGTAAGGGAGCCAAACAGCGGGTGGGCCCAGCCGTCACTCCCTGAAGAGGACCCGTCGTCCCCATCCTCCTCATCCCCATCCTCATCCCGACCACCCATACCGCCACCACCATGCCCAGCACCCGCACCAGCTCCGCGCTTTCCCCGCCGCCGCCGTGTCGGGAGTGTCCTGCGTGTGATGTTGACCCCGTCGAGTGACACAGCGTCCTCGTCGTCGTTGCTGTCGCCATCGCCGTCCGGGTCGCCTGTACGGCGGCGATGCTGCCGGTCGCGGCTGCGGTGTTTGCCACCCGCTGCCCCCGCTGCTGGCCCCGACAGGTCTGAGCTGAGCTGTCTTCCGCCGTACGCCCCGCCGTACGCGCCCGCCATAAGATCCACCTGAGCGACAGGGAGGTTTGGGGGAGGAAGCCGCTGCCTGGCTGCCTGGACAATGCGATGGTGATTACCGGATTCACTTTGCATAGCAGCTCCCTAGGGCACCATGAAAGCTCATTCCTTGTTCTTGCTGGGCTGAAGACTGTGCTCCCGTCCCCTTCACTCTCGCCCTGCTCAGTATCCGTTTCGCTTCTCCCAGCGCAACCCCTTAGGCGGTCCTCCCACCCTACCTGCAGCCAGGAGGTGAACACGGCCCCCTTGCCTGCCAGGCTGACCGGGCCCCGGGGGACCAGCATGATCATGGGGTCGCCTACGGAGGTTGGAAGAGGAATTACGGGTAGAGGAGGGGAGGGAGGGCAGCAGCAAGGTAATGGCGGAATGGCGAAAAAGACGACGGTAAGCCGGCACCTGGAAGGGGCTAGGCGCAAAGCCCACCGGTCCTAGATCTAGACCCGCCTAAGGGTACAGTTCCCACCCCCGATCGTCCCCTAAGCTGCGACTTCTATGGCTCGGTCTATCTCTGACCCCTCTTCACCTCACCCTCTCACGCCCCCCCCCCCGCTCACCCGCCTCCGCCAGCAGCTCCGCGGTGCTGCGCGCCACGTGTACCGCCATGGGCTGCGAGGCGGCGCTGAGACTGGCGGCCAGCGACATGGTCTCACCTGGGAGGGTTGGGGGGGGAAGAAGGGGAAGGGGACAATGGTTAGAGGGGCGGAGCAGGTTTCCGGTTTCTCGAAATTACCCCGTGCCATCAACCACTGCCCACTTGGGGTTCACGAGTTATACCTTATTCAACGTTTGGTGCACCGCAACCCCTGCAGCCCCCCACTCCCGACCCGTCACTGCTCCCCTCTCCAGATCCCTACCGAACAGGCAGTAGCGCGGCAGCCGCTTGCCGCCGTCGATGACTGCGGCCACCAAGGGACCTACAGGATTGCGTGGTGGGGATTGAGTTCCGAGGTATAGCAAGGTGGTGTGAGGCTGGGAGAAGGCATTGGGGGAAACGCAAAACGCTGCTCAGCCCCTTATCAACCCCAAAGCGGACTGCTGATCCCAGTTGTATCAGCCCCTTGTGCTACACACAACACACTCCTCATCCTTCCCTAACAGTGCGTGTCACTCCATGTCGCCAACCCCATTTCCCGCCCACGCCCACCCGAGTACAACCCGATCTGCAGCTGCACCCGCTGCCCCCCGCTGCCTCGCTGCCGGGCAGCCGCCACCACCATGTCGCGAGCGCAATTGGCCGCCAGCGCCGCCCAGGTGACCGCGTCACGCCGGCCGGGCTCCGGACAACCGCCCACACACACGTACGAGTCGTCTGGAGGGGGGTGGGAGGGTTGGGGTGAGGTGCGTGGTCTGGATAAGCAAGGGAGTTATTAAGTGATGAAAAATGGTTGACAATGAATGGGGCCTGAGACGGTGCAGTTTGCCCGCCAGTCAACCTCCCCGGCACGCACGGCCGTTACCTCCCTATAAACAACAGCACCCCATCCCGCTTCCTTCGTCCCCTTCCCTCCCCCATTTGCGTTATCCCTCTCCTCCCCTCCATTGCCCCTCACCGAATGTCTCCACCTCATGCAGCCCGTGCTTCTCCGCCAGCCCGTCCAGGCAGCGGAAAAACTCATTGAGCAGCGTAACCACCTGAAGGAAGGTGGCAATGTGTAAATGGTTACTCTAAGTTGAGCGACGCAGGGGAAAGGACGACGACGGTGGAATTGACAGGAGCTGGGACGGTGAGACGGCACGAAAGGGCCGTGTGCGGTAGCCTCCTGGTTCTTGGTTCCTCTTCCCCTATACAGCCCCTTCCCGTCCGCACCTCATGCGGTCGTACACCCCCTCCCTGCTGCCCTGTGCTGGTGCCAGCGCCGCTGCCTCCCTGGCCGCCGGACGGTGTGCTGGTGTAGCGCACCAGGCGGCAGTGCAGCGCCGTCACGCAGGGGAAGTACTCGTAGAAGGGGGCGCCCAGCCGCACTGCCCGCAGCGCCTGGAGGAGTGGGAGGGGCCAAACAGGGCATGCGCGTACGTGCATGAGATAGCCCTTCCGCTCTGCCTCCCCAAACCTCACGTGGCCGTACCCCACCGCACCAGCTCCTTACGGCTGCAGCCCAGGTGCACTGCCCTGCCCCTAGCTTTGCCTGCTTTGAAGTCGACGCTCCTCCTCTTTCCATCCTTCTTCGTCCTTCGTTCCTCCTGCCTTTCCCAAAACCCCTGTCCTTCTTTCTCCCTCCTCCTCCTCCTCCCAAGCAACATCTTCCCCGTCCCTCACCTTCCCCGGCATGCGCGACGTCAGCAGCGTGAGCAGCCTCCTGCGGTTCAGCAGCGCACTGAACAGCAGCAGCGACAAGCTCAATGACAGCGCCGCCACCACCGCCTGCAGGGGCCCCTCCCAGCGGGGGCGGAAGCCTGCCGTACACATGGGGGTACGGCACGGTGTGTGGAGTAGTTGGGGGTTGAAGCGCAGGCATGCAGGACAGCAAACGTGGGCGGAGCGAGGTCGGGGGAAAGAGCCAGAACTGCTCATCTGCACGAATCTCTAGAGCAATGCACGCAGCACGGCGTCTGCACGGTTTCGCTCAATCGGAGGGATACCGTATTTTCAACCCCGGCCCTAGGTAACCACTCTTAGCTCCGCCCACCACCTCTTCTTCTCCTAACCCGCCCGCCCCCTACCTGATCTGGGGCACACTGCCAGCTGCCAGTCCTCCCCGGGCACCTGCACTCCCACATTCACGCAGCCGCGGCTGGGTCCGGGGGTGGAGTTGGATCCGGGTGCAGGAGGCGGAGGAGGCGGGGAGCTCTCAGCCAGCAGCACTGGGGGACCACCGTCCGCAGCGGGTTTCACAAGCCTGAGAGGGATTGGTGTTGCAGAAGGGGGGAGGGTGCCTCCTGGGCAGGCTGATGTGGGGTGAACCAAAGAGAGTGGGGAGCGGGCGAGGACGAGGGAAGTCTAGGAATAACGAAAGAAATTGGGGAAGCAGACACCGCACGCCTGCGGGCATTGCGCGCCACATCACTCTGCCTCCACCGACCTGTACAGGTAATGCCTGCTCCTCAGTGGCCCCAGCGAGCTCTCCGGGCCAGCAGTGAGGTTGTCCAGTGCTATGTAGGCAGCCGCGAAGCCCCAAAACTTGGTCCGCGAGGCGGGGTCGTAGCAGGCGGAGCAGCCGGTGTTGCCCTCTGCGCCGTTGCCCCACGTCTCGTCGGGCCCCACCCCAGATATGAAGACGGGGTAGCGCGCAATGAGCACTCGCTCCTGGTTGGGGGGAACGGCCAGGGGGCCTGCCAGCCAGATGCTCTGGAGGAGGACGGAAGGATAACTGTTACAATGCTGGGCGATGGTGGGTTGAGGATAAGGGGTTCGGGGCAGGCTGATTGGGGAGAAGATTGTTAACATAGCACAGGGGCTGGGAACTACCGGTAGTAAGGGATTGGGGCACATCCGTCTGTGTTCACCCCTATGCCGCCCAGCTCTAGCCCGTTCCCTCCCCATCGTCGCACCCTCAGCTGCACGGTGCTCAGCGCCTCCTGCCTGCGCTCCGGGTCGGTGAAGAGGTTGAGGCCCAGCGTGCCTAGGTCCAGCCGCTGAGGGGCGATGGCGCGCACGATGCCGAATGGAACCAGCTTGAGCTGCACAGCCGCACTGGCGCGGGCCTGAGGAGGGTGGGATGGAGAAAAGTAAAAAAGGCTTGGGAGGAGGAGAATGAGGGGCGGGGATGTTCAGCAGCCTATTTAAAGTTATGGGAAGTTCGTGTACAGTGCGACAGGAGAGACGTATGCCGGAGTGTCTACCGCCCCCTCTGCAGCGCATGGGGGGGCATGGCCAGCGGAGCACATGACGCGCCTGCGCACAAGTGGCGGTGCACGTCGTGAGCTCGTCTCCCGCCTTCCCTGCGCCTCTTCAACCCAGTCTCCGTACATCCGTCTCTTCCTCACTACCTGCGTGATGAGCTCCCCTGCCAACTGCGCAAAGGCGGGCCCCAGTGTCGACATGGCTGGCTGCTGGCGGATGAAGGTGCCCAGGCTCAGCACCGGCAGCAGCGCCTGGTCCAGGCTGAGGGCCAGCGAGGAGGAGACCTTGAGCGCGGCGGCCTCGGCGTCAACCTGCAGGGAGGGGAGGGGCAGGGGTAGGGGTTGTAAAGTATGGTGAAAGGAATCTGGGGGGGGAAGCGGCAAGGAAAGTGTAGGGATGAAGTACGGCGGGGTCGAACAGCATACGATTGAAGTCGCAATTCGCCCTGGCGGCCCTTCTATGAAGCGTCGGCATTAGGACCCGAGGATATCAAACGAGCGCTGTCTTCCTGCTTTCCCGTCGACTCCTTCGTCTTGCCCAGGTCATCCCGCATGTTTATACCCTCTGATGACATCCAGTAACTTGCCTTGGCCCCCCGCTCGCTGCTGTGTGCGGCCGTGCGCACCCCGAACGCGCCCAGCCCCAGCAGCAGCCCGCACACCAGCAGCGGCAGCAGCGCCACCGAGGGGTGCCGTACCACCACAGAGCGAACCACCTGGGGGGGGGGTGTCGGTTGGCGGGGAGTATTCGAAGTTGAAGACCCGCGGGTACAATGGTTACCCCCTCATGGAGGTTGATTACAGCGGGAAGGTGTACGCTATCAGGTACGCTGTCAGGTCGCTGGGCGACCAATGAGTATGGAAGGGCTGTCAAAATGGGAATGTGGAAAGCATGGATAAATCGATGTGGAATCCACCTTACTTGGCGCTGCGCCACTTGGCGGATTTGGATTGGAGTCAACGTTTTGTCAACGCTAGGATTCCATTGCGCCGTACAGCAGGCTGTATGCCGTGGTTTGTTCGCTCAAGTTGCTCCCACGCAAGGGAATCGTGCGTACCTTCATTTGTGTTCGGGCCGCATCACACAGCCGCCAGCCAGCCTTTCGCGTCACACCATGCTGCACGGGTGCCTGGCCAACCTGCCCGAGGCTCCTCCAAAACTTGTCCTTATCCTGCCCGCATAGAAATGTGGTACCGTTTTTCTATGCTAGTAAAAGCTTCCAGCTAATACCACGGGCAGTCGGGCACGATTGCGTGTGAAGCTAGCAAGGCTTGCTGCGCTAAAGCTTTTTGCATACAGCTTGTTTTTGTCCACGTACCTGCCACTCCCATACAACCGATGGTGAAGGTGGCTTCCATGGCCGGAAAAGGCTGCTGCGCTGCGCGCCCTGCTGTTCCTGCTGAACCAAGGGACGTCTGACAGGAGGTCTGCTAAGCAGCGGTTTAGCCCCATTAGGAATACCCAGTTGCTGAAGCGCTATTGTGTCTGTTAATATAGAGGCATCGGCCTCCCCAGGGCTGTGCGGTTGAAGTTCACTTCCACCGGATGCCATTCGACCATGCAGGTTGTTGGGTACGCGCAAACAGTATGAGAGATGCCATACAGGTTACAGGTGAGAGATGAATGCAGCAAGTAAGGGCTTTGATAGACACCCCTAGATTGTGCGTCCACGGACGTCTGGCTCGGCCAGGTAAACCGGCCGATTGCACGGCACTCTACAACCAGCAAACCAAGTGCCGCTTTGGGTAAAGAAAAGTTTGCTGGATGCGTTTTACTCAAGCTGCGCTTTTTATAACCAATGGCAGTGCCTCGTAAACTATAAGTGCAAGCAAAGTACGTAGCCCGGCAATCAAGACCTTTACAACTTACGCTTCAAGAGAGTACTTGAAGCGATTCAAATAAACTGGTATACTATGGTATCCTATGGAATCCGAACTTCCTAGCAAGCTGAGGATAGGCTGATTAAGCGCTGTTCTCTGTGTGAGCTGGCACATACCTACTATGCGCCCAATAAGACGTTAGCAAGCTAACAAAGAAATATTCTGTACCCATTACAGTGATGAGATGGAACCCGCATCCTTGAAACGTTTGGACCCGTCACCCGTGATACATGACCTGCTGTACGTCCTACCCGTGAAAAGCGACTGCAAGTATTTTATCTAGCCCTCCTGTTGCCCATCGAAGATCAATGTACCGGTATTGATCATAACGGCCATAGCAAGCGTGATATTGCTCAGCTGCCTGCACAGGTCGTTACACAGGTTCCTTGCTTTTGCTTGATGCAAGGCCTTACATAATAAAAATGGACAAAAGGAGAGTTTCTGGTAGGTAATTTCATTTTTACTTAGTGCGGCGCATGCCGGCGTTGAACGCTGTGCGGATGCGTCTTGCAAGCATGGAAATTGGCGACCTACTTTTCCATAAGACTGACACAAGCGGACACGTACATCTGCTCTCCTAATAATTTGGTGGTTCATACAGGTGGAAATTCTCGGAAATTCTTTGACAAGGTCACGCTAAACAAGGATGTACCATGGGATCCCCGACGTGACGGCCCCAAGTTCATGCTGGCTCTGCTAGAGTACAGCGACCCTGTTGAAATGCTTTACCGCCTTACCAACCCCAATGTACGTGCTTCGTCCTTACGACTACTGCAATATCCCGCACCAGGCCTCCTGCAGCCCGGCTGCATGAGTACACGCACGAGTCCCCTGCCTGCCCGCCGCTGATGTGTTCTTTACCCAAAGGGTTGAACTAAACGATAGGCACTTATGTACAGCCTTCATGCATATGACGTTGAACAGGAACACGGAGCTGCACGCCTCAAGTCGGCACTGACTGCGGATGGCTCTCCGTCGTACATCAACAGCTACGTGGCACCCCTCCTCAAGAAACTAGGCGGTGATGAACTCAGCGGCGGAACAGTGAGGTACGTCTGCAACCAATGACGGCACGTGCTGACTGAGAGTTGGACAGCATAGCAGCAACGTGCTTCTGTGCAATGAGGAGGTTACAGCAGTCTAGCACCCGTGTCGTTACACCTTCAAGCTTTCCTTCCTGCCACGCTTGGCCACCATACCACCACCATGAGCCCAACACCCTACCCGGGAAGCTTATCGTGGATGTGTGCCGTACCGTGTGGCTGCGTGCCGCACCCTGCCGTTCTCCACCCCCCTGCCCAGGGCCCCGCTGCTGCAGCTGCTGGAGCAGGTGTACCGGGTGCCTGGGCTGCTGGGCTGCCTGCAGGCCGCAGTGGCGAGCGGACAGCTGGCGGAGGCGGCGCCGGTGGGCTGGTTCCTACTCATGCTGGCCACAGAGGTGGGGCGGGTTGGGGTTGCTCTTGTCGGGTTCGTGCTCTTCACCCGGAGGGTCAAAAGAAGGGGCAACCCTATAGCTACGATTGGATGGATGACGTATTCATTCCTCCTCATCGCTTACACGGCTGGCACCCGCAGCTGGACGAGGTACGGCGCAGTCCCGAGGTACGGCGGCTGGCTGACCTGCTGGCCGCTCAGGGCGGGGATGGCGCCAAGGTGGCTCAGAGGCTGCACATGGTGCTGGCGGGAGCGGCGGAGGCGGCGGCGGGGGCTGGTGCCGCCGGCGTGACCGGTGGGCGTAATAATGGTGCCACCACTCGAGCCTCCGCCCGAGCCAGGGACGGCAGCGGTAGCGGGCGGCGGCAGCAGGGGGCCGGAATAGCCCTGGAGGACTTGTTGGCGGGGCCGGGCGGCAGGCACGACAACGACCATGTGGACTACAGGTGGGGGACCTAGAGCGGCGGGTAATGGCATTGGGCTGATGGCACAAAAGGACATTGGATTGCTCGTGCTTTTAATGAGCTTGGCATTCGTGGGGGACCTAGCGTCTTGGAGGCTTGGCCCCGCTCCCCCCATGTGGTTAGAAGGGCCAAGTGGGGGCCAGTCGGTTAACCGCTTAGCGGTTGTATCGACTATGGCGCTTATAAGCCTGTTTGCTGCGCTACTTGACACTGACACTTTGCACACGTTCCACACATGCAGGTCAATCCAGATCCTGACCACCTCAGACGAGGTATGTGGCCTGGCACGCAGGAGACTCTAACCGCGCATGCCCCACCCAATACCAATGTCAGTCATGCTTCGAGATCCGTCAGGATTGCCCTTTAATCTTGGATAACCTATCCGCAAACTCCTGTATATGCCTGCAACATTTCCCAAAAGATAACCCTCTTCTTCGCCCCAGCCAAGGTTTCATCTACAATGTCTCCACTCAATTGATCCTTCCCGGATTTCCTCGTGCTTGTCAACTGCATGCCACGCGCAATACACCCCATCATCACACCCATCTATCTGCACACACCCGCAGGCCCTATGCGAGCGGCCCCCCTACCTGCCCCGCCGCTCCGCTGACGACGAAGCCGAGGACGGCGAGCTGCCGGGCCCCTCGCCCCACCTGGCCTCCAACCCCGAGGCCGCCCTCCTGGACCGCCACTTCCGACTGCTGCGGGAGGACTTCGTGCAGCCGCTCAGGCAGGCACTGGCTGTGCTGGGGCTCAAGGAGGGTGCGGGCAAGGGCAATCCAGCCGCCGCCGGGCAGCCCCGCTTGCAAGAGCGTCTGGCCATGTCCGTGTCTTTCGTACAGCGCAACGTCTTCCCTCTGGTGGCGGTAGTGGGAGTGGCGCACAAGCCACGGGCCTGCGTGCAAGTGGCGGTGGCGTTGCCGCCCGGTCATAGGGCGATGCGCTTGAAGAAAGAGGAGGAGCGGAAGGAGTACTGGAGCGAGTACGGCAAGGGTACGTTGCCCATGGACGCGTTGGTATGTATCGCGCGCATGCCAAAGAAGCAAGCCCAGGCGGCCGGTTCCCAGCAGCCGCAGCCACAGCCGCTGCTGTTTGGCACGGTGGTGCGGCGTGAGGCTGCTGAGATGGCTCGCAAGCACCCGGAGATCGGTCTGGTGTTTGAGCGGGGCCAGCAGGCGGGCGCGGCTCGGCTGCTGTCTGAGCTGGGCCGGGGCGAGCGGCTGGAGGGCGAGGAGCTGGCGCTGGTGCAGGTGTCCACCAGCTTCCCCTTCATCCGGCCGGTGCTGGCCTGCCTGCAGTCCATGACGGGGGTGCCGCTGGCGGAGGAGCTGGTGGCGGGGCGGCAGCCGGGACACGTCACCTACCTGCAGCCGGGAGCGGTGCAGGAGGTGCGGACGCTTGTCGTGCTGTGATGCTAGCGACACACATTAAACCTCCGTGCCGTCATAAATGCATTACTTCGGCCTTCTGCTCCGACTAGGGTACCGTTTAGGCGTCCCATAGTCCCCTCAGCTGGATCCGCCTTTCCGTGTACTTACCGTACCTAACCCACCATGCCTGCGGCCCTCAGGAGCTGTCGTACCTGCAATCCCGCAAGCTCGTCCTGGACCCCAGCCAGCGTGAGGCCCTGCAGCGCTGCCTCACCCAGCGGGTGGCACTGGTGCAGGGCCCGCCGGGCACCGGCAAGACGTTCATCGGGGCGCTGCTGTGCGATGCCATCGTACGGCGCAGCTCCGAAACCATCCTGGTGGTGTGCTACACCAACCACGCGCTGGACCAGTTCCTGGAGGCGCTGATCGCCAAGGGCATCACCAGCATCGTGCGCATCGGGTCGCGCAGCAAGAACAAGGTGCGTGCGTACGGCAGGAGGATGGTAATAAGCAAACAAAGCGGGCTGGTTTTTCCACCGTCTGGAGGGAAAGTATGGTTCTTGTGCATATTCCCGTCGCCATATTTCTTTCTGCGTCTGGGCCGTGACCCAACTGGAGCACCCTCTACTTCAGGCGCTGGCAAAGTACAACCTGCGTGAACTCACAAGCGCCGACAGCAACGGGCAGCGGCCGCGCCTGCCCCCAGTGGTTTCCCGACGCATGTGGGTCCTCAAGACGAGCGAGGAAGAACTGGACCGCAAGGTACGCCGCTGTAACACGTGCTACATACGCCGGCCGGAACCAGCTGAACCTGGTGATGGCAAAAACACGCCATCTGCCCCTGCCCACTGAGGCCCAGCTCTTTCCAAAGCTCAACCGGTGTGTTTGCCTAGTGTTGAGATGCTGCTCACAAACCTGTTGACCGCAGGCCAAACGCCTCAAGCAGTTGCTGTTCCACACGGCGGGGCCATTCCGACACCAGGATAAGAACACAGAAAAGCAGCAACCGCAGGAACAGCAGCAGCCGGGTAAGCAGTCTCGGAAGGGAGCGGCGGGTGCTGCAGGTACGGATGCTGCCTCCCAGCAGCCGCCTCCGCCCCCGCCGCCAGCCGGCCCTGCTGTGGACCTCTGGCGAGAGCTGGAGGAGTTTCTGGCGGACGAGCATGAGGACGCCTGGGAGCAGCTAATGGGCTTTGAAATCGATGCGGGGGGTGAATCCAGGTGGCATGAGTGGCTGCGCGGCCTGCCCTCTCCAACTTCTGTTAGGGACCCTGGCTATGATGATGGCTGGCAAGCCTCCAAGGCGGCCCAGAAGAAGGCGGCGGCGGGGAGCATCAGCTACAACAAGGCAGAGGAGCTGCTGTTTGAGCAGGCAGCTGCCCTGAGGCCTGCGGTGGGCAGTGGTGCCGGGAGCAACTTAAGCGGGATGGGCGAGGTCTCTGAGAGTGGAGACCTGTGGCGGCTTCCCCTCCCGCAGCGGCTGCAGCTGGCGGCCAGGTGGCTGCGGGAGCTGCGCGGCAGGTGGGCTGCTGAGCTGGCCACCTCGCTGGCTCGCTTCCGGGAGCTGCAGGCGGAGATCCGCGCGCTGCACGACGACCGCGACCGCGCCGTGCTGAGTGGCGCGCGCGTGATCGGGGTGACCAGCACGGGCGCCGCCATGCACAAGGAGCTGCTGGGGGCGGTGGGCGCGGGGGTGGTGCTGGTGGAGGAGGCGGGGGAGCTGCTGGAGGCGCACGTGCTCACCAGCGCGGGAAGCAAGACTCAGCACCTCATCATGGTGCGTGGGTGGGGGCGGGGGGGCCCGGGAGGGAGAACGGAGGAGTGAGCTGGGAATTGTCCGGCGCTATACCCACATCCGTATACATACTACTCCCCAGTCTTCTTACGATAGCTCCCCACCCCGGCACCCATGCATCCGCTCCCGCCCGACCCGCCCCCCAGATCGGCGACCACAAGCAGCTCCGCCCCAAGGTGGACTGCTGGTCGCTTGCCGTACAGTCGGGCTGCGGCCACGACCTGAACGTGTCGCTGTTCGAGCGGCTGGTGCTGGCGGGCTTCCCGCACACCCCCCTGGCGGTGCAGCACCGCATGCACCCGCAGGTGTCCGCACTGGTGCGCCCCACCTACCCCGCGCTGGTGGACGCGGAGGCGGTGGGCCGCCACCCGCCGCTGCGGGGGCTGCAGCCGGGGCGGCGGGTGGTGTTCGTGGACCACCGGGAGCCGGAGCTGGGCGAGAAGGAGGGCGGCATGTGGGGTGCGGCGGCAGCGGGGCAGGTGTCCAAGGTGAGGGGAAGTGTCCGCGAAGGGTGCTAGGTGGGGTCTGTCTGGAGGGTTGTCAGCGGTCTTAGGGTGCTGTGCGACGGTGCAGTAGCGGGCGGACGATGCTCACTCCTCCCTCTTCTGCTGCTGGCGCCGCTACTGCTGCTGCCGCCTGCCCAGGTGAACCCCCACGAGGTGGCGCTTGTCCGCGAGGTGGTCCGCTACCTGCTGCGCCAGGGCTACGGTGCGGGGCAGCTGGTGGTGCTGACGCCGTACCTGGGGCAGCTGCTGGAGCTGCAGAGGGAGCTCAGCAGGGACATGCAGGTGAGGGGTGGAAGGGGAAGGGAGCTGGGCAGGGCCTGCAGCAGGGACGAGGGGCGAGGAGGACGGGTAAAGAGGAAACGACTAACGAACCGGATGACGGGGAACGAAGATGTCGATAAGGCTCCCAACCGGTTACCGACCCGACCTCCTCTCCCCTCCCCCCCAGGTGCTGCTTGACGAGTTGGACCTGAGCGACCTGCGGGCCGCTGCCAAGCCCCAGGCGCTGGAGGGGCTGGCGGAGAGCACCGGGCCCGACAAGCCGGCAGCAGGGGGCAAGGGAGGCAAAGCAGGCGGAGGCGGCGGTGGAGGCAGCGGCGTCCGCATCGCCACCATCGATAACTACCAGGTACACTGCTTTATCAACATGCCATGTATGGTACTGCTCATTTGGGCAAATGACGGATTTCACTTGCAGCCAGTTACCCGTAAGCCTCCTATCATATGCTTTCATTGTGCACCCCCCCCGGCCGGCAGGGCGAGGAGTCGGACGTGGTGATTGCCTCCCTGGTCCGCAGCAACGACGCCGGCAGCGTGGGCTTCCTGCGCGAGCCGGAGCGCATCAACGTGCTGCTCTCGCGCGCGCGACACGGCATGCTGCTGATCGGCAACTCCCACACGCTGCGCCACGCCAAGCACCCGGAGGCCCGCCGCCACTGGGGCCGGGTGCTGGATGCGTTGGAGGCGGAGGGAGGGGTGCTGCCCGGGCTGCCGGTGGCTTGCCAGAGGCACGGTACGGTAGCGCTGCTGGAATCGCCCGCGGCGTTCGCACAGCACGCGCCGGACGGGGGCTGCCGGCGGCCGTGTCAGGCGGTGCTCAAGTGCGGGCACCCCTGCACGCTGAGGTGCCACGCATACGATCCCGACCATGAGCGGGTGGTGTGCGGACAGGAGGTGCTGGACGTCTGCAGCCGGGGACACAGCATCGTGCGGAGGTGTGTGTGGGTGGGGGGGCGCTCCGTACTCTGTTTGCGTCAGGGCGGGCTCTGATGTGGACGGCTTCCTATCGCGTTGTCGCGGCGTGTGTAATGCTGTTGCTCCTATCCCCTCAAGTCTACCTTATACCTTAACTAGAATACGAGTTGGATAGGATGGCCTTGTTCCGTGATGATGCAGGAGATACTGACGGTTATTGTATAAGTTCCTTTGCAGGTGCTCACAGCGCAAAGAGGATTCCGTCTGCACCATTTGCACTGAAGTTAGGCAGGTTGAGGTCCAAGAGCGTCTTGAGCTGGCCAAACTGGTACGTACCGCGTGGGAGGAGTAAGGTCACATGCCTCGTCGGTGTGCCTATGTGGTGACCCGCGTTCGCCTGGGGCACTGAGCATGCAGGATGTAGACGCATCAATGATGACCCGTGGGTCACCTACTTCTATCCAAGTATATACCTGAAGGCATTGAAAGCATGGGAGGATTCAAGATCTTCGTCGCCTTAGACTTCACTGTTCTAACGTTGTGCCCACCGGACCTGGACGCCCTTATTTGTGTTGCCCCAGGAGAAGCAGGCGGAGGCTCAGCGCAAGGAGATGGAGCTGCAGCGCGCGCGGCTGCAGGCGCGCATCTCGCAGCTGCAGCAGCAGGCGGCGGCGCTCGAGGAGCAGCGGCGGTCGCGGCAGGAGGCGGTGCGGCTGGAGCTGGAGGCGCTGCAACTGGGGAAGCAGGTGGAGCTGCAGGTAGATGCGAGGGTAGGGGGGGGGGCTCCGGTGGGGGCGGGGGCTTTGCTTAGAGGGGACTGCGGTGTGGGTGGGGGTAGAGTGCAATGCAGCGGAGCCGTGGGGGTGGCACCGATGATGATTGCACCGGCTTATGGGAATCGGATTGTAGGAACGTCTGCTCCCTTTGTGGCAAAATTGTACACTTACCTTAAAAGCCCTGTTCTTACACGTTATCCCACGAGTGTCACACTTCCCCTGCTGTATCATACTTGACCAGCGTAGTTTAGTAGCCAATCACGGTGACCCTGCTTCTCCTAACGTCGCCACAGAGAGTGTACGGCGCCGTAGAGCTGGCCGATTGGGAGCGAGAGCAGCGGCAAGAGGCGGCGGCGCAGATGAAATCACTGGAGGCGGATGCCAGGCTGGAGGCACAACGGCGGAAGGAGGAGAAGGTGCGTGGCTGGTACGCGGCTGTTCCAAATAGGTAAAAAAATCCGCGGTGCCTGTAGGATACGTGTTGACGCCTTCATTCCTTCAGTAACATGCTTGACGTTGCGGCTCTACATCCTGGGTGAAGGCACGAAGTAAGCGCAACAGGCCTGAACCTGGGTGCATGCGGGTCTTCTCTGGCGGCAGGAGGTTCAGTGACTGCATTGGTCCAAACTGCATTGAGGCACGCAATCTGGCACGACAATATAGGGAGACTGACCGTTCAGGGTGTCATGGTACAATATTCATTCCCATCCTATATTATAGCGGCGCAAGTTAGTCCTTTAGCACCTCTGGCATTGGTAACAACATCTGCACGGGTACGCACCCCTTCAACAGGCGATGCAAGCACAGCAGCGGGAGGAGGAGCAGCGCCGCCGGCAGCTTGAGAAGGCCGCTCAGGAGCTCCAGAACCTGGAGGAAAAGGCTCAGCGGGAGATGCAGCAGATTGTGAACGACAAGCGGCGGCTGGAGACCCAGGCGCAGGAGCGAAGGGGCGCGGCGGAGGCCAAGGAAGGCGGCAAGCTGCATCAGTACCGAACGGTGCGTGGGGCTGAATGTGTGCCATGTGTGAGAAAACACTGGGCCCTTCATTATGAAGCATATCTTGAGGAAAGTAGCTTATTTTGTAACGCCCGGCGTGTGCAGATGACTTGAGAAATGTAGCTTATTTTGTACCGGCATGTGCAGATGAGCGCCTGGAAGGAGGCGGTGGCGAAGGCGGCGGAGGCGGCAGACGGAGGCGGCGAGGGCCTATCGGCGCTGCGGCAGCAGATCCGGGCGTCCGCTGCCGGGTCGCAGGAGGCGGCCCGGGACACGGCTGGCAGCCTGGATGCGGTGTTCAGCGAGCCGGGACTGGGGGGCAGCCTGGTGGCGTATGTGGGGGCAGACGCGGAGGAGGAGGTAAGGATTGTGGGTACCTTAGGGGTGAGCACCCAGAACCTGCTGCGGCCGTGCGAAGCGCAATGGGGGCCTCCTGCTTTAGGAAATGAGGTGTATGCGGCGGTAGTAATGACCGTTAGGCACCTTGTAGATGCATGGCGCGGACTTACCCCGTTCCGTGTTTGTGTGATCACTTCAAATTGTACCCGACAGGCTGCGGAGCTGGCACGTAGCGGCGGCAGCGGCGGCAGCATCGCCAAGCTCCGCCGAGGGCTAGCGCTGATCCAGGAACGCAAGTGGCTTGACGCATACAAGTACTTCTCAGCGACCATTGAGCATCAGCAGAAACAACAGCAGCAGAAGCAGGAATCAGCTGCAGCAATGCCGCAAACAGCAGAAGAGGACGACACTGTGGACGACGCCACGGCCGCGCTGTTCGCCATCTGCCGCATCAAGTCGGGGCTGCCTGCAGAGTCCGAGAATAAAGGACAGGCGGTACGAGCACGGCCTTCAGCTACCTCTAAGGGACGAGCAGGGCCAAAGAGCCGGCCTCTGTCTCAGAAGCCTTCTCAGCAGGCAGCAGGCTCTTCCACCGCCAGCGGCCTCAGCCTGAGCCAAGCAGTGGGGCACCTGGCGGCGGCGCTTATGGCTGTTCAGCAACGGGCGGGTGCCGCTGGGCCGGCCCGCGACATAGCGACTGTACAGCTGCAGCGGACCGCAGATGCGCGCGCCGCCGGGTCGGCGCTGGCGTACCTGCTGCACCCGCTGTCAGGGCAGCTGCCTGCCGTACTGCGGGAGGAGGCGCTGGGGCTGCTGCGGGAGACGGCGCCGGTGCTGTCGGGACCGTTGAGGCCGGGCCCGTCGGCAGCAGCTCCGTCTTCATCATCAAAGCAGCTGCAGTGGGAGGCCCGGGCGAAGTCCAGCCCAGCGCTGAGCAAGCTGCTGCAGCTCACGGGCTTGGCGCCCGTGAAGCAGGCCATGTTCCAGCTGGCAGCCATGGTGGGTGAACACCGGGGGCGGCGGGGGAGCAGGGAGTGGTCGAGTGGTGTTATCACTAGGTTGCTAGGTTGTAAGGTTGTAGGGATGAGCGGAAGCGTGTGACACAGCGGCCATGACAGGAAGGCCACAGCGGGGGCGCACGGATGCCATGAGGAGATACAGCGTATGCCTGTGCTGCAATGAAGCGTATGTTCCAGGGCCCCGCTGTGAACCTCACCCGTACGCAAGGATTGAACCGTGTGTGTTGCTGCAGGTGGACCTGGACAAGGAGCGCGGTCGCGACCTGGGCGCCAAGCAGTACAACGTGCGCTTCTACGGCAACCCCGGCACCGGCAAGACCACCGTGGCCCGCATGTACGCGGAGCTGCTCAAGGAGCTGCGCGTGCTGCCGGGGGCGGAGGTGGGTGCTGGGCGGCTGGGCGCGGTGCTGCACGCAGTTACGTGTCCCCAACTGCAACAGTGTCGTGAGCATGTCGTGACCCTGGCGTGGGCAGAGCCGGGGATGACGGTATCCGATGGAAAAGTAATCCAAGGCGACAGTAGTGTGCAACGCTGAACTGCACCTAGTCCTACCCCGGCCTGCACGTAGGTGGTTGAGACCAGCGGCTCTGAGCTGCTGACCGGCGGGGTGTCCAAGCTGAAGGAGCAGCTGGGCAAGCTGGAGAAGGGCGGAGTGCTGTTCCTGGACGAGGCATACCAGCTCAATCCCAAGACGAACCCCATGGGCGCGCAGGTGGGCTGGAGGGCTGGCGGGGCGGGGCACGCTGCCGTTCTAGAGTACGGTTAGGCTTTTAAGGTAGATTGGCACACGTGCACATTTGCTGCCGAATCCCTTATGAACCGCTGTCAACCGTGGACCCCAGCCCCTGCTGATTGCCCCTCTCGCCCCCACCTACCCCCAGGTGCTCGACTACCTGCTTCCCGAGATGGAGAACCGTCGCGGCAAGCTGGTGGTGGTGCTGGCGGGCTACAAGAAGCAGCTGGAGGAGCTGATGGCGCACAACGAGGGGCTGCCCAGCAGATTCGTGCAGGTGATGAGGTGCAGGGGCGGGGTGGAGGGGAGCCGCTGGTGCAGGGCCGGTCATCAGCAGGGACAGCCCTGTCAGGACACCGGATTTGTCATGTGACATGCTTGTAACGGCTTGCCAAGGCCAGAGCTTGAATAGTCAAACTCTGAGCTGCAAACATCTCCGCCGCATCCCTCCAGGAGTTCAACTTCCCGGATTACTCGGACGAGGAGCTCTTCATCATCTTCCGCGACCTCATCGCCTCCGACACCGACCCACGGTTCACTGTCGCCGACGAGCGCCACCTCCGCATCGCCGCACGCCGCCTGGGTCGCCAGCGCGGCATGGTGGGCTTCGGCAACGCGCGTGCAGTCCGTAACGCCTACGAGCAGGCCCAGCGGCGGCAGTCTGCCCGGGTGCTGTCCGAGCGGGGTGCGGGTCTGCAGCCTGACCCGCTGCTGCTGGTGCGGGAGGACCTGCTGGGGCCCAAGCAGCTGGACGTGAGCAGCTGCGAGGCGCTGCGGGAGCTGCAGGGCATGAGGGGGCTGGCGGAGGTGAAGCAGCAGGTGACGGCGAGGTCGGGATGACTGCGCAGGGCTGTGTGCTGGTGTTGTCAGTTGCCTCCAGTGCCGCTGGTGCTGTGTGAGATGCCTCAGCTGGCACCATCCCGCCCCACCACCCCACCACCCTCCCCGCCCCAGGTTGCGGACCTGCTGGGTCTGATCCGCACCAACGCGGAGCTGGAGGAGCAGGAGCGCCCGCTCAAGGCGGTCAACCTGAACCGCATCTTCCTGGGCAACCCGGGCACAGGTGCTGCGGGGCGAAGGGGGGGAGAACACGTGCCTGCGGACACGGTAGCAGGGAACCGCCTTCGTTAGCCTGGTGTTCCCATGCAGGAATGGACGTGCATGCATGAAGCCACTGCTCGCCTTCAACCTCCTAGCCTAGCATCGCCTCCAACCACCTGATCCTTTGCTGTCTAAACCTCCACCCAGACTACCCACACCCTCCTCGTCGGTCTCCTCCGCAGGCAAGACCACCGTCGCGGGTCTGTACGGCCGCATCCTGCGCGACCTGGGTTTGCTGAGCAAGGGCGACGTGGAGGTGCGCGTGCCGGCGGACTTCGTGGGCAGCGTGCTGGGAGAGAGCGAGAAGCGCACGGAGGCCATCCTGGAGGCCACCAAGGGGCGGGTTCTGGTGATCGACGAGGCGTACGGACTGCACTCGGCCAAGGGAACCAGCGACCCATACAGGGTGCGTGAGCGCCGCAGGGCATCACGTGCCTAGGGCATCGTTTCGGGAAAGAATGCATTGGCCAAGAGCATCATCGTGGAATAGCGTAGGCCCAGTCCCTCTTCCCGCCATCCCCATTTCATCCCCATGCCTACCCCCTCTGCCCCCTTCTGCAGGTGGCCGTGATCGACACGCTGGTGGCCCGGGTGCAGGGCGTGCCTGGTGACGACCGCTGCGTGCTGCTGCTGGGCTACGAGGAGCAGATGGAGGCCATGATGCGGGAGGCCAACCCGGGGCTGGCGCGGCGCTTCCAGATGCGCGAGGCGTGGCGCTTCCAGGACTACGGGCCCGTGGACTTGCTGGCAATTACCAGGGAGGCGGCGCGGAAGAGGTGGGGGCAGAGGCGTGCGCCATGGTAGACCTCGCCTTGCTGCCAGCTTGTACACATGCATGTGGGCCGCAATAACACGCATAATTCTCGCCTAATCCCTATTCAAAAGCAGCCATCCTCCTTCCACATCCCGCCCACACCATGCATTCCACACCACCACCGCAGGGGCTGGGAGCTGGGCGAGGCCGCGCTGCTTATTATGAAGCATATCTTGAGGAAAGTAGCTTATTTTGTAACGCCCGGCGTGTGCAGATGACTTGAGAAATGTAGCTTATTTTGTAACGCCCGGCATGTGCAGATGAGCGCCTGGAAGGAGGCGGTGGCGAAGGCGGCGGCGGAGGCAGACGGAGGCGGCGAGGGCCTGTCGGCGCTGCGGCAGCAGATCCGGGCGTCCGCTGCCGGGTCGCAGGAGGCGGCCCGGGACACGGCTGGCAGCCTGGATGCGGTGTTCAACGAGCCGGGACTGGGGGGCAGCCTGGTGGCGTATGTGGGGGCAGACGCGGAGGAGGAGGTAAGGATTGTGGGTACCTTAGGGGTGAGCACCCAGAACCTGCTGCGGCCGTGCGAAGCGCAATGGGGGCCTCCTGCTTTAGGAAATGAGGTGTATGCGGCGGTAGTAATGACCGTTAGGCACCGTGTAGATGCATGGCGCGGACTGACCCCGTTCCGTGTTTGTGTGATCACTTCAAATTGTACCCGACAGGCTGCGGAGCTGGCACGTAGCGGCGGCAGCGGCGGCAGCATCGCCAAGCTCCGCCGAGGGCTAGCGCTGATCCAGGAACGCAAGTGGCTTGACGCATACAAGTACTTCTCAGCGACCATTGAGCATCAGCAGAAACAACAGCAGCAGAAGCAGGAATCAGCTGCAGCAATGCCGCAAACAGCAGAAGAGGACGACACTGTGGACGACGCCACGGCCGCGCTGTTCGCCATCTGCCGCGTCAAGTCGGGGCTGCCTGCCGAGTCCGAGAATAAAGGACAGGCGGTACGAGCACGGCCTTCAGCTACCTCTAAGGGACGAGCAGGGCCAAAGAGCCGGCCTCTGTCTCAGAAGCCTTCTCAGCAGGCAGCAGGCTCTTCCACCGCCAGCGGTCTCAGCCTGAGCCAAGCAGTGGGGCACCTGGCGGCGGCGCTTATGGCTGTTCAGCAACGGGCGGGTGCCGCTGGGCCGGCCCGCGACATAGCGACTGTACAGCTGCAGCGGACCGCAGATGCGCGCGCCGCCGGGTCGGCGCTGGCGTACCTGCTGCACCCGCTGTCAGGGCAGCTGCCTGCCGTACTGCGGGAGGAGGCGCTGGGGCTGCTGCGGGAGATGGCGCCGGTGCTGTCGGGACCGTTGAGGCCGGGCCCGTCGGCAGCAGCTCCGTCTTCATCATCAAAGCAGCTGCAGTGGGAGGCCCGGGCGAAGTCCAGCCCAGCGCTGAGCAAGCTGCTGCAGCTCACGGGCTTGGCGCCCGTGAAGCAGGCCATGTTCCAGCTGGCAGCCATGGTGGGTGAACACCGGGGGCGGCGGGGGAGCAGGGAGTGGTCGAGTGGCGTTATCACTAGGTTGCTAGGTTGTAAGGTTGTAGGGATGAGCGGAAGCGTGTGACACAGCGGCCATGACAGGAAGGCCACAGCGGGGGCGCACGGATGCCATGAGGAGATACAGCGTATGCCTGTGCTGCAATGAAGCGTATGTTCCAGGGCCCCGCTGTGAACCTCACTCATACGCAAGGATTGAACCGTGTGTGTTGCTGCAGGTGGACCTGGACAAGGAGCGCGGTCGCGACCTGGGCGCCAAGCAGTACAACGTGCGCTTCTACGGCAACCCCGGCACCGGCAAGACCACCGTGGCCCGCATGTACGCGGAGCTGCTCAAGGAGCTGCGCGTGCTGCCGGGGGCGGAGGTGGGTGCTGGGCGGCTGGGCGCGGTACTGCACGCAGTTACGTGTCCCCAACTGCAACAGTGTCGTGAGCATGTCGTGACCCTGGCGTGGGCAGAGCCGGGGATGACGGTATCCGATGGAAAAGTAATCCAAGGCGACAGTAGTGTGCAACGCTGAACTGCACCTAGTCCTACCCCGGCCTGCACGTAGGTGGTTGAGACCAGCGGCTCTGAGCTGCTGACCGGCGGGGTGTCCAAGCTGAAGGAGCAGCTGGGCAAGCTGGAGAAGGGCGGAGTGCTGTTTCTGGACGAGGCATACCAGCTCAACCCCAAGACAAACCCCATGGGCGCGCAGGTGGGCTGGAGGCTGGTGGGGCGGGGCACGCTGCCGTTCTAGAGTACGGTTAGGCTTTTAAGGTAGATTGGCACACGTGCACATTTGCTGCCGAATCCCTTATGAACCGCTGTCAACCGTGGACCCCAGCCCCTGCTGATTGCCCCTCTCGCCCCCACCTCCCCCAGGTGCTCGACTACCTGCTTCCCGAGATGGAGAACCGTCGCGGTAAGCTGGTGGTGGTGCTGGCGGGCTACAAGAAGCAGCTGGAGGAGCTGATGGCGCACAACGAGGGGCTGCCCAGCAGATTCGTGCAGGTGATGAGGTGCAGGGGCGGGGTGGAGGGGAGCCGCTGGTGCAGGGCCGGTCATCAGCAGGGACAGCCCTGTCAGGACACCGAATTTGTCATGTGACATGCTTGTAACGGCTTGCCAAGGCCAGAGCTTGAATAGTCAAACTCTGAGCTGCAAACATCTCCGCCGCATCCCTCCAGGAGTTCAACTTCCCGGATTACTCGGACGAGGAGCTCTTCATCATCTTCCGCGACCTCATCGCCTCCGACACCGACCCACGGTTCACTGTCGCCGACGAGCGCCACCTCCGCATCGCCGCACGCCGCCTGGGTCGCCAGCGCGGCATGGTGGGCTTCGGCAACGCGCGTGCAGTCCGTAACGCCTACGAGCAGGCCCAGCGGCGGCAGTCTGCCCGGGTGCTGTCCGAGCGGGGTGCGGGTCTGCAGCCTGACCCGCTGCTGCTGGTGCGGGAGGACCTGCTGGGGCCCAAGCAGCTGGACGTGAGCAGCTGCGAGGCGCTGCGGGAGCTGCAGGGCATGAGGGGGCTGGCGGAGGTGAAGCAGCAGGTGACGGCGAGGTCGGGATGACTGCGCAGGGCTGTGTGCTGGTGTTGTCAGTTGCCTCCAGTGCCGCTGGTGCTGTGTGAGATGCCTCAGCTGGCACCATCCCGCCCCACCACCCCACCACCCTCCCCGCCCCAGGTTGCGGACCTGCTGGGTCTGATCCGCACCAACGCGGAGCTGGAGGAGCAGGAGCGCCCGCTCAAGGCGGTCAACCTGAACCGCATCTTCCTGGGCAACCCGGGCACAGGTGCTGCGGGGCGAAGGGGGGGAGAACACGTGCCTGCGGACACGGTAGCAGGGAACCGCCTTCGTTAGCCTGGTGTTCCCATGCAAGAATGGACGTGCATGCATGAAGCCACTGCTCGCCTTCGTCCTCCTAGCCTAGCATCGCCTCCAACCACCTGATCCTTTGCTGTCTAAACCTCCACCCAGACTACCCACACCCTCCTCGTCGGTCTCCTCCGCAGGCAAGACCACCGTCGCGGGTCTGTACGGCCGCATCCTGCGCGACCTGGGTTTGCTGAGCAAGGGCGACGTGGAGGTGCGCGTGCCGGCGGACTTCGTGGGCAGCGTGCTGGGAGAGAGCGAGAAGCGCACGGAGGCCATCCTGGAGGCCACCAAGGGGCGGGTTCTGGTGATCGACGAGGCGTACGGACTGCACTCGGCCAAGGGAACCAGCGACCCATACAGGGTGCGTGAGCGCCGCAGGGCATCACGTGCCTAGGGCATCGTTTCGGGAAAGAATGCATTGGCCAAGAGCATCATCGTGGAATAGCGTAGGCCCAGTCCCTCTTCCCGCCATCCCCATTTCATCCCCATGCCTACCCCCTCTGCCCCCTTCTGCAGGTGGCCGTGATCGACACGCTGGTGGCCCGGGTGCAGGGCGTGCCTGGTGACGACCGCTGCGTGCTGCTGCTGGGCTACGAGGAGCAGATGGAGGCCATGATGCGGGAGGCCAACCCGGGGCTGGCGCGGCGCTTCCAGATGCGCGAGGCGTGGCGCTTCCAGGACTACGGGCCCGTGGACTTGCTGGCAATTACCAGGGAGGCGGCGCGGAAGAGGTGGGGGCAGAGGCGTGCGCCATGGTAGACCTCGCCTTGCTGCCAGCTTGTACACATGCATGTGGGCCGCAATAACACGCATAATTCTCGCCTAATCCCTATTCAAAAGCAGCCATCCTCCTTCCACATCCCGCCCACACCATGCATTCATACCACCACCGCAGGGGCTGGGAGCTGGGCGAGGCCGCGCTGCTTGCCGCCGTGGAGGCGCTGGACCAGGAGCGCCGCAAGCCCAACTTCGGCAACGCGGGCGCAGTCAACAACCTGCTGTCGACTGCGGCGGTGCGCATGGAGGGCCGGCTGCGGGGGCTGCCCCCGGCGCGGAGGGCGGCGGAGGTGCCGCAGGCGGAGGACTTCTTGCCGCCGCGACAGGGCGGGGCTGCATCGGACCCCGCCGGCATCTTTGGCGACCTCATTGGATGCAGGTAGGGTGGCCGGGTGTGCTGGCCCTTGTCTCCTGTATGCAATCCCTACCTTGACCCCCTGAGCTCGGTCCGCACCCCAGGGAGGTTTTGTCCAAGCTGCGTGAGTGGCAGGCCACCATCCTCGGCTGCCAGGCGGTGGGTCGCGACCCGCTGCAAGTGGTGGAGCTCAATTTCCGATTCGTAGGGGCGCCAGGTGGGGCAGGCGCGAGGAGGCAGGCAGGGTCAGGGAGATAGAGCACTACTTGCTTTGTCTGTCGGGATTTCATTCTCTGCTGCCTGCCCGCACTCGAGGTGCTCCAAAACGAGACAAGCCCACCGTTCCCCTGCCTCCTCCCAGGCACGGGCAAGACCACGGTGGCTGCCCGCGTGGGTCGGCTGTTCGAGTCCTTGGGGCTGCTGGCCAGCTCCGAGCTCGTCAGCTGCTCCGCCTCCGACTTCGTGACGGGCTACGCCAACCAGGCGGCCGGCAAGACGCGTGAGATGTTCAAGAAGGCGGTGGGCGGAGTGCTGTTCATTGACGAGGCGTACAGGTGGGGTGGGACGGGCGGCTTGGGTGTGGGCGGGGGAAAGGGGGGCGTGGGTTTGCCACCTGATGGGGTGGGGTGTGTGTTCTTTGCCAGTGTCAAGGCGTTCCTAACTGGCTTTGAAGTAATGCTTCTTAAACCCCTAACCTCCTGCTTGACCAACCGACCGAGCGCCTGCACCTGCCTGACTTTCTTCTGCGTCGTGCAGGCTGAACCCCAAGCACGGCGGCCCATACATGCAGGAGGTATGCATGTATTAGGGACCGGGGCCGAACCTTCCCAACACAGCCGCTTTACACAAACACAGCCCCGCACTCCTCTTGACACTACTGCTCATGTCCCCTCCTGCCCCCTTGCAGGTAATTGACGAGATTGTTCAGATGCTGACGGAGCCCGCCTTCATGGGCAAGATGGTGGTCATCCTGGCGGGCTATGAAGAGCAGGTACGGCATGGCGGCATGTAGGACATGTTCACATGTAGGACATGTTCGGCATGCGTGTATTGCATATGCTGGAACACTATACGCACCCGTCCTTTCCCAACCCCTCCCTCCTCCAAGATTGAGGAGCTCATGCGTGTCAACCCCGGCCTCAAGAGCCGCTTCAGCCAGCGCCTGCACTTCCCCGACTTCACGCCGGCGGACGCGGCCAGCCTGCTGCGGCTGCAGCTGCGGCGCGATTACGGCATGGAGCTGGCGGCGGAGGCGGAGGCGCAGCTAGAGGGCATGGCGGCGGAGGTGGGGGGGGCTGGGGCGGGGTAGCTAGGGGGCCTTTTTTTGTTGGGGCGCCTAGTTGTGCGTGGTGCGCTGGCCCATGGTGCACTTGGTTGCACGCCGTACGCTTGTGCAAGGGATGTATATGGGCCTAAGGGTGATGAATTGACAACAATGATGGATCTCAAGGAGTTGCCAGTAGCCGCCGGACAGGATTTTTGATATGCAAATACCGGTAGTCAAGAACAAACATATGTAATGTCATCCTTTGCTGCCCCATTAACTTGGAAACACCCCCAACCTACGCAGCTGGCCTCTGCCCCCAACTGGTCCAACGGCCGGGATGTGGGCACCTGGGCCAAACGCACCTTCGCCGCCGCATGCAGCCGCAGCTTCGGACCGCAGGCCCCTGCTGCTGCTGCTGCTGCTTCGGGCGGACCAGGGGGACAGGCGCAGCAGCAGCCCCAGCAGCAAACCGGCTCCCTCGACCCCGGTGTGATCCTGGCGGACCTTCGCTCGGCACTTGACACGCTGCTGGTGGACAAGCGAGGACCTAAACCACGGCAGCAGCAGGGGCGCGGCATACCTCCCATCCTGCGCATGGGAGCCTCAGAGGATGGTGGTGATGGCGACGAGGGTGCTGACGGCGGCACGGTCCCACCCTCACAGCAGCAGCCCGCCTACCAGTACGCTACTGCAACCGACATGGCAACCGCACGGGCTCCACAGCCGCAGCTGGCACCGCCCGCCGTGCGCTCTGAGGCCGCCCCTGCTGTCGCTGAGCCGCCAGTAGAGCAGGCAGCTGCGACTGCTGTAGCAGCTCAGGAGGGCGCTGCAGGCGGCAAGGACTTTGGTAGCCTGAGCCCCGCCTTCCTCGAGGCGATGCAGGAGACGCTGGAGGCGCTGGGTCACGACCTGACCTCCATGGATGCCGTACAGGAACTGGCGGGGGATCCCTCCCTGGCCTCGCAACTGCTGCCGTACCTCGCCGTACCCGGGGTGACCGACGTGGCCGTACTGCGGGAGATGGTACGCCAATGGCAGATGATGCTGGCCAAGCGGATGGAGGAGGAACGGGAGCTGGCGAAGAAGAAGCAGCGACCCGTGTGGAGGTGCGCGGTCTGCGGGCGGTACGGCTGCCCGGTTGCGCCGTATATTGAGCGATATGAGGAGTTTTGAACTGTGGAATGGGAGGCCGGATCATACAGCCTCCATGTACTGGCTGGGTATCAGGCGGTTGTTGCTGAAGTTGTGTCGATAAGCTGGGTAACCGCCTTGTGGCAAGGAGAAGGGTGGTTAATGCTGGAGGCAACGCACACGACCTTGAAGGACGGGATATGTAAGCTAGGACAGGCCACCTGCGTATAGTTGCGGCTCTCTGAAGCTGATGCCGTGATTCACTAATTACCGAAGCGCTATGGCGTGATGTGCACCCGTGCAACGGATTGCTTGTCGAAAGGGTAGCAGCTAAGAGGGCGAGGTTCGTTGGGAAAGGCCCTCTTTGAACCCTCGGGCCCCCGGTCTCGGTCAGGCTACCTGCTCCCGTAGAAACGTACATGGGGTCTTTTGCCACCATCTAGGGTGTGACCTTGGGGCGTTGGGGAGGCAGGGACCCTACATAGCAGCAGGCTATATTGATGAGCTATTGCCGTACATTAAGAGGGACAGTGAAGTCTTGCTCCTACGTTGCACTCTGCTGGCAAATGTTAATGGACACCTACCCGGAATGCTCATGGCCGCCTTGCTAGCGTCATGGTACCATACTCGCAATCAGGGTAACGACGCACTCCCTATCTACCGGTAAACAGTTACGCATGCTCCGAAATCTGCGTCGCTAACAAGTCGTGTAATACGACAGCGCCCTGTGACCTTCATGGCATTGCGACCGTGGTTGTCTTAGGTCCACAGTAAGGCACTGACGGTAAGGAGGCTATCATTGAGCCACTTATAACTGTTCAACGGCTGTATATATTACACATTAACCGTCACAGACCCACGGGTCTTTTGGTGGGCGCTAAGACCCTACAGGTTGACCACGTTTGTCCGACGGTTCGGACAACAACAACTGGTGCGGAAACTCCTAAACCAATGTGCAAAACAACTACGACGCACCCATTTGTCCATGCGCATAAAACAATGGTATGTAGAGACCATGCAAAGAATAGGCTTACAGGTTCAGCTACCCTAATGTTTTACGGCTTGACATGTGCAAACGATAGAGAAGTAATCTGCTGCGGGCTTAGAACTCCTCGTATCGCTCAATGTACGGCGCAACCGGGCAGCCGTACCGCCCGCAGACCGCGCACCGCCACACGGGTCGCTGCTGCTTCTTCGCCAGCTCTAGCTCCTCCTCCATCCGCTTCGCCAGCATCGCCTGCCACTGGCGTACCATCTCCCGCAGTACGGCCACGTCGGTCACCCCGGGTACGGCGAGGTACGGCAGCAGTTGCGAGGCCAGGGAGGGATCCCCCGCCAGTTCCTGTACGGCATCCATGGAGGTCAGGTCGTGACCCAGCGCCTCCAGCGTCTCCTGCATGGCCTCGAGGAAGGCGGGGCTCAGGCTGCCAAAGTCCTTGCCGCCTGCAGCGCCCTCCTGAGCTGCTACAGCAGTCGCAGCTGCCTGCTCCACGGGCGGCTCCGCGACAGCAGGGATGGCCTCAGAGCGCACGGCGGGCGGTGCCAGCTGCGGCTGTGGAGGAGGTGCAGCCCGTGCGGTTGCCATGTCGGTTGCAGTAGCGTACTGGTAGGCGGGCTGCTGCTGTGAGGGTGGGACCGTGCCGCCGTCAGCACCCTCGTCGCCATCACCACCATCCTCTGAGGCTCCCATGCGCAGAATGGGAGGTATGCCGCGCCCCTGCTGCTGCCGTGGTTTAGGTCCTCGCTTGTCCACCAGCAGCGTGTCAAGTGCCGAGCGAAGGTCCGCCAGGATCACACCGGGGTCGAGGGAGCCGGTTTGCTGCTGGGGCTGCTGCTGCGCCTGTCCCCCTGGTCCGCCGGAAGCAGCAGCAGCAGCAGCAGCAGGGGCCTGCGGTCCGAAGCTGCGGCTGCATGCGGCGGCGAAGGTGCGTTTGGCCCAGGTGCCCACATCCCGGCCGTTGGACCAGTTGGGGGCAGAGGCCAGCTGCGTAGGGTGGGGGTGTTTCCAAGTTAATAATACGGCATTGCGTGGCGCAGCAAAGGATGACATTACATGCTTTTGCTATGAATATTTCCATTCGTGTCCGGCTACTGGTAGCCCCTTGGGAGGGTTGCGCAACCGCGTGTCACGTACCTATTCGCCCGTCATTTATGTATCACCCTTAGACCCATATACTCCCCTTGCACAAGCTTACGGCGTGCAACCAAGTGCACCATGGGCCAGCGCATCACGCACGACCAGGCGTCCCAACAAACAGGTCCCCTAGCTACCCAGCCCCAGCCCTCCCTCACCTCCGCCGCCATGCCCTCTAGCTGCGCCTCCGCCTCCGCCGCCAGCTCCATAGCGTAATCGCGCCGCAGCTGCAGCCGCAGCAGGCTGGCCGCGTCCGCCGGCGTGAAGTCGGGGAAGTGCAGGCGCTGGCTGAAGCGGCTCTTGAGGCCGGGGTTGACACACATGAGCTCCTCAATCTTGGAGGAGGGAGGGGTTGGGAAGGGACGGGTGCGTAGAGTGTTCCAGCATATGCAATACACGCATGCCGAACATGTCCTACATGTGAACATGTCCTACACGCCGCCATGCCGTACCTGCTCGTCGTAGCCCGCCAGGATGACAACCATCTTGCCCATGAAGGCGGGCTCCGTCAGCATCTGAACAATCTCGTCAATTACCTGCAAGGGGGCAGGAGGGGACATGAGCAGTAGTGTCAAGAGGAGTGCGGGGCTGTGTTTGTGGAAAGCGGCTGTGTTGGGAAGGTTCGGCCCCGGTCCCTAATACATGCATACCTCCTGCATGTATGGGCCGCCGTGCTTGGGGTTCAGCCTGCACGACGCAGAAGAAAGTCAGGCAGGTGCAGGCGCTCGGTCGGTTGGTCAAGCAGGAGGTTAGGGGTTTAAGAAGCATTACTTCAAAGCCAGTTAGGAACGCTTTTACACTGGCAAAGAACACGCACCCCACCCCTTCAGGTGGCAAACCCATGCATGCCCCCCCTTCCCCCCGCCCACACCCAAGCCGCCCGTCCCACCTGTACGCCTCGTCAATGAACAGCACTCCGCCCACCGCCTTCTTGAACATCTCACGCGTCTTGCCGGCCGCCTGGTTGGCGTAGCCCGTCACGAAGTCGGAGGCGGAGCAGCTGACGAGCTCGGAGCTGGCAAGCAGCCCCAAGGACTCGAACAGCCGACCCACGCGGGCAGCCACCGTGGTCTTGCCCGTGCCTGGGAGGAGGCAGGACAATGATGGGGCTCACTTTGAAGCACCTCGAGTGCGGGCAGGCAGCTGAGGTTGAAACCCCGACAGGCAATGCAAGTAGCTTCTTTCTCCCTGACCCTGCCTGCCTCCTCGCGCCTGCCCCACCTGGCGCCCCCACGAATCGGAAGTTGAGCTCCACCACTTGCAGCGGGTCGCGACCCACCGCCTGGCAGCCGAGGATGGTGGCCTGCCACTCACGCAGCTTGGACAGAACCTCCCTGGGATGCGGAGCGAGCTCAGGGGGTCAAGGTAGGGAGAGCATACAGGAGACAAGGGCCAGCACACCCGGCCACCCTACCTGCACCCAATGAGGTCGCCAAAGATGCCGGCGGGGTCCGATGCAGCCCCGCCCTGTCGCGGCGGCAGGAAGTCCTCCGCCTGCGGCACCTCCGCCGCCCTCCGCGCCGGGGGCAGCCCCCGCAGCCGGCCCTCCATGCGCACCGCCGCAGTCGACAGCAGGTTGTTGACTGCGCCCGCGTTGCCGAAGTTGGGCTTGCGGCGCTCCTGGTCCAGCGCCTCCACGGCGGCAAGCAGCGCGGCCTCGCCCAGCTCCCAGCCCCTGCGGTGGTGGTGTGGAATGCATGGTGTGGGCGGGATGTGGAAGGAGGACGGTTGTGCTTGTAAATGGGGTTAGGCAGGGTGGGTGCGTGTTGCGACCCACAGCATGCATGTGTACAAGCTGGCAGCAAGGCGAGGTATACCATGGTGCCCGCCCCTGCCCCCACCTCTTCCGCGCCGCCTCCCTGGTGATTGCCAGCAAGTCCTCGGGTCCGTAGTCCTGGAAGCGCCACGCCTCGCGCATCTGGAAGCGCCTCGCCAGCCCCGGGTTAGCCTCCCGCATCATGGCCTCCATCTGCTCCTCGTAGCCCAGCAGCAGCACGCAGCGGTCGTCACCAGGCACGCCCTGCACCCGGGCCACCAGCGTGTCGGTCACGGCCTCCTGCAGAAGGGGATGAGATGGGGGTGGTGGGAAGAGGGGCCATGCCCACTTAGGAAAGTGTGCTACCCTACAAGGGCGCGCTTGTTGTCCATTCATCCCTTTCCCAAACGAAACGCATGATGCCCTAGGCACATGACGCCCTGCGGCGCTCACGCACCCTGTATGGGTCGCTGGTTCCCTTGGCCGAGTGCAGTCCGTACGCCTCGTCGATCACCAGCACCCGCCCCTTGGTGGCCTCCAGGATGGCCTCCGTGCGCTTCTCGCTCTCTCCCAGCACGCTGCCCACGAAGTCCGCCGGCACGCGCACCTCCACGTCGCCCTTGCTCAGCAAACCCAGGTCGCGCAGGATGCGGCCGTACAGACCCGCGACGGTGGTCTTGCCTGCGGAGGCGACCGACAAGCAGGGTGTGGGTAGCGGGGCGGAGGTGTAGACAGCAAGGGATCAGGTGGATGGAGGTGATGCTAGGCTTGGAGGACGAAGGCGAGCAGCATCACGTGCATGCATGCACGTCCATTTCTGCATGGTAACGAAGGAAGTTCCCTGCTACCGTGTCCCCAGGCACGTGTTCTCCCCGCCCTCCGCCCCGCAGCACCTGTGCCCGGGTTGCCCAGGAAGATGCGGTTCAGGTTGACCGCCTTGAGCGGGCGCTCCTGCTCCTCCAGCTCCGCGTTGGTGCGGATCAGACCCAACAGGTCCGCAACCTGGGGCCGGGGAGGGTGGTGGGGCGGGGTGGTGGGGCGGGATGGTGCCAGCTGAGGCATCTCATGCAGGAGCCCGTTTGCACACAGCAGCAGCAGCAGCACCAGCGGCACAGGAGGCAACTGACAACACCAGCACACAGCCCTGCGCAGTCATCCCGACCTCGCCGTCACCTGCTGCTTCACCTCCGCCAGCCCCCTCGTGCCCTGCAGCTCCCGCAGCGCCTCGCAGCTGCTCACGTCCAGCTGCTTGGGCCCCAGCAGGTCCTCCCGCACCAGCAGCAGCGGGTCAGGCCGCAGACCCGCACCCCGCTCGGACAGCACCCGGGCAGACTGCCGCCGCTGGGCCTGCTCGTAGGCGTTACGGACTGCGCGTGCGTTGCCGAAGCCCACCATGCCGCGCTGGCGACCCAGGCGGCGCGCGGCGATGCGGAGGTGGCGCTCGTCGGCGACAGTGAACCGTGGGTCGGTGTCGGAGGCGATGAGGTCGCGGAAGATGATGAAGAGCTCGTCGTCCGAGTAATCCGGGAAGTTGAACTCCTGGAGGGATGCGGCGGAGATGTGTGCAACTGAGAGTTAAATTAATCTAAACTCTTGTCTTGGAAATCGCATATCAGTTACAAGCATGGCAGTTGATTGAGTTGGTGTCCTGCACGTGGGTGCCCCTCATGTCCTCCATATCCCCCAGGCACCGGCCCTGCACCAGCGGCTCCCCTCCACCCCGCCTCTGCACCTCATCACCTGCACGAATCTGCTGGGCAGCCCCTCGTTGT